GAACAGACTGACAGCTGTCAGAGGGGAGGGGGAGGAGGGAATGGATGAAACAAGGTGAAGGGATTAGTCAAAGAATGCATAAGTGTAACTCATAGACACAGAGAGCCGTGCGGTGACGGTCAGAAGGAAGGGGGAGCAGGGGCTGGGTAGAGGCAGGCAAAGGGGGGCAAATGGGAACATCTGTAATAGTGTCAACAATAAAAATAAAGTTAAAAAAGAATTAAAAATGTGTTGAATGAAAGAAGCTAAATGCAAATAATAACACTAACTCCATTGATAGAAAGGTCAAGAGGAGGAGAAAGTGATCTATGGGTTTTAGAAATCAGAATAGTAGTTGCCTCTGGGGAATGGGATTGATTGCAAATGGGCACAAGGTAACTTTCTGGGATCGTAGAAATGTTCTGGGTCTTTATCTGCATTAATGGATGTGTACATTTCTTGAAATGCTTTGATCTGTACCGTTAAATTTGTACATGTTACTGAATATAAGTTATTCAGTTATTGAGGTATAAGTACCTCAATAAAGTACTGTGATCATAGAAAGTAATGTTCATATGACTATAACAATGAACCACCCCCCCCAAAAAAACAACCCTCAGCATATGGATTAAACAGCACATCCAACATAACCAAAGAGAGAATTGATGAACTAGAAGACAGAGCTGAAGAATTACCTGTATTGCATCATGGAGACACAAAGAATAGAAAACATGGAAGGGAGTTTAAAAGACACAGAGGACAGAATGAAAAAGTCTAGCATACTTCTAAGCACAGTCCCCAAAGGAAAGAACACAAAGAATGGAGAAGAGAATAACTGAAGAGATACGGGCTGAGAATTTTCCAAAACTGATGAAAGAGGCAAATTCATAGATACAGTAAATACAACATATTGAGAAGAATAAATAGAAAAGAATCCATACCTAGATACTTTGTAATAGAACTACAAAAACACTAATATCATCATAAAAGCAGGGAGAAAAGAGATCACCTACAAAAGAATGACAGTTAGACTAAGCAGGCTTCTTCAAAATATTCATTGCATCTATTACATGCCTACCCTGTCCCAGATACTGAGAACACAAGGTGCAGAAGACAAGACTCAGCTGCTACCCTATGGAGCCCACAGCATATCAGGGATAAGAGATGTGGAGGCAGCAATGATAGCGTGATGAGCGAGCTGGCCTACTCAGAGGGAAGAGAACTGGCAAAAAGATCACACAGGCAGAACTGTGTACTATTAAGATCTTCCCATCAATGCTGGAAAATCCCTTGTGTTTAGAAAGATAGAGTGGGGCTTTTCCTTCTGAGGGACTCTGGGGACAGTAGCTGCTATGCTCATAAGTCCTGCCTTAGGGCAGGGGACAGAAAAGATGTCCTAAGACTGGTGGCTTCCCTAGAAATCCTGAGGGAAAGGAAGAAAGCATATTCTTCCTCAGAGCCTTCATCAAGGTCCTGGGCTGTGTCCCTGCAGCCACAGGCCAAGTGTAGTGTACAGAGCCCAAGGATCAGCAGAGGCTCCATGGGGAGAGGGAGGTTATGCCAAAAGGAGGCCAGGGGGTGCCCATGCTGGGGAGGGGCGTCCCGATGCATGTAGGCTTGACTTTCACTTTTTAAAAAAATCCTAAGCAGAGGATATGGCTTATTGATTTTAGAAAGAGAGGAAGTGGTGGTGGTGGGGGGAGAGAGATTGATGTGAAGGAAACATTGATCTGTACACACCACAACCCAGGGATCGAACCCCCAGTGTTGGGAAATGCGCTGTCTAGTTTCAGGAACTGCAGCCCCGCTGACAGGCAAGAGGGCCACAAGGCTGGAACTAAGCAAGGAGGCTTTGGGAAAACAGGCCACTGAGGAAATGAAACCTGTCCCCCTGGCAGGGTCGCAGCCCCGGCCTCACTCACATCACCCTGCTTGGCCCTGAGATGGCTGGTAGTCGATGATGGGTAAGATCCCTTGATGGAAGGGACAACCTAAGCCAGGCACAGCTGAAATGGGCATCAGGACAAACACGTGGGGGACACAGAGAAAGGGCAAAAAGACCCGCACCCCTCCGCTTGGCTTAGACATGGCGGGGGTCCTCACTCTATCCGAAAGAAGTCTCCTTGTCTCTGGGCGGCTCCCTCCCCCGGCCTGGCTCAGGCTCGAAACAATACTGGAGACTGTCCTAAACTGGATACAGAGGTTCCCAGGGAAAATCAGGCCTAGAAGTGAATTCTTTAAAGCAGGCTTTGTTTCTCCTTCAAAAGCTATGATAGCCAGCTCCTGCTGGGAAGGAAATTTACATTATTCCCAGACCCTGACCCTAAACCCTTTGGCGCACTCATGTTTTCTGCTCTCATGTTTACTTGTCTCCTCTTGGAGCCGTGTAAATTGGTGTGTTCCTGCCATTTGTTTTCTTCAAATCATCTATTCTCTGTAAACATTAACTTACTGATGTAATGAGATCATTCTAATTACCTAACCCCACTGATAACCCTTTCAGTAAAAGCCTTTGGAAAAAGGGGCTCGGGGCCTTCTCCCCTAGAGGGAGGAGCCACGCCCCCTCTCCTGGCAGAGAGAGAAGTGTTTGCGACAACCCGTGTTTATTTCCCCCACCCGTGACAACCCCAGGACACACTCCCACCTCAGCTGGCCCCCTGGACAGAGACCCTCAGACCCAGGAACCCCATGAGCTGCTCCCCACACCCCAACCCAGGTATGTGCCCTGACCAGGATCGAACCCACAACCTTTTTGGTACAGAGGATGATGCTCCAACGAACTGAGCCCCCAGGTCAGGGCTGGAGTCCTGCCTTTGATCACAACACCAGGTCTCAAGCTGGAATGGGGCTGAGGAGCCACGGAGAAGAGCCTCACCCCAATACACACACATACAAGACCTCCCACAGGTTTTGGTCTGAGGAGCTCCCCAAAAGGTCCTTGAACTTCAGAGCTAGAAAGAGGAAAGTAGCTTGAATCCTGGACTCTATCTAGATGCGGGGATGACTTTCTGTACCACCATCAACACTTCTCTGCCCTGGCTTCATTTCAAAACACCCGTGCTGTCAGCTTTCCTCCATTAGAGTGTTAGGAAGCTGTCTTCCTACTAGGGGGCAGGGACTAAGTCCTGTTTAGCCTTATCTTTCTAGAGCCGGGGCGGGATAGCTCTATCAGGTGCTTGTTCACTTAAGGGGTGGGGCTCTTGTGAGAGGGGTGAGGATTTAGCGAGAGGGGTGTGGGGACTGGACAGAGGAGAAAGTCTGGGGAGCAGTGAAAAGTTCTTTGGAGAAAGCTGGAAAGAGGGGCAGAAGGTGGAGAGAGTGTGAAGACAAGCGAAGGACAGGTGAGGGAAGGTTGCTCAGGGTTTGAACTGGCAAAGGGAGAGGCCGACAACCGCCCTCGCAACCCTCACCATTGCTCACTGGGGGACTGGGGGCGCGGCGCTGGCCTGCCTGGGCCCGTTGCCAGGTGCCGCCCTTCGCGGCCTCAGGTCCCGCCCTTCTCGGGTTTTAGTGCTGGCAGCTCAGGAGGCCCCGTAGCCGCCGCTTCCGTCTTTGCCAGGTGAGGGTCCTGGGAAGCTGGAGCGCCGGGGCTGGGGCTGGCGCAGGTGGCCCAGCAGCCACTGCTTGGGGTGCCTCCGCGGGTGCTGAGCCTGTCTGCTCCATCCTCCCCTCCTCTGCCCTCCCCACCGCGGTTCTTTCCTTCTGCGGAGCTTTCCCTCCTGTCTCCACTTTCGTGGTTTCCTTTTTCCACTTTACAAGCCGTCCCCACAGCCCAGGGTCCTGGGCTCTCTCCTCCCCCTCCCCTGCTCGTGCCCAGTTCCTAGCCCACCTCCTGTTTCCAAATGGGCCCCAGCTTGTGGTCCTCCCCTTCCTCCCGTCTTAAGTAAGTGTGTGCGGGAGAGAATCCAGGGGTGTGTAAGGAAGAGATCGTGCGGGCAGCCCCCACCCAGAGTGCCTAGAGCCTCATTTCATAAACGGCGGTGGAGTTGCCTTGAAGCTAAGTTAGACCGAGTGACTCAGGTGTGCAGGCGGGGCAGGCGGAGTTGAGGTGACTGTAGGCAGTCCCTGAACTGAAGCCACAAATGCCTGATTTGATTTCAAATGCTGCTGTGTCCTGTGTAGAAGAGGCAGTGGCCTGACCGTCTCTGGGCTGAGGGGGAAGTACGCCTGCAGAACTCAGGTGTCCGTGCACGCCTGTACCTTGATGTCTCCTGAGGTGTGCGTGTTTATGTGGACCTTGGCGTCTCAGACCCGTGGGGCGATGTAGTTAGAGGGCAGCGAACTGTCCTGTCTCAAGTACGTATCTGTCAGAGGGTACGTGGCGCTAAGCCTGGGATTTTATGGCAGCATACCGGGCTGTCTCAGATGTGAGAGGACACACCTGCGTGTCTCAGACATCTCTTGCAGCATGTCTGCAGGTGTCAGTGCATGTGTGTGTGTGTGGCAGCCTATCTGGGTGTAGGAGGCAGTGTACCTTTGTGTGTGCGCGCACACGTGTGTCTGTACCTGTGTGTCTGACGGATGGGGTAGTTAGCATATCTGGGCGTCTCTGGTTTGTATGCGGTAGGTCGAAATGCCTCACATGCATATGAGGTGTCTCAGGTGTGTGCGAGTGTGTGCAGTGGGGTGTCTCCGATCTGAAAGGGCAGTGTCTGTGGGTGTCCTAGGAGTACAGGGCACTGCGCCATAATATCTCAAGGGTGAGCAGGGCAGCTCTTGAAGTCTCAATACCTGAAGTCTGTGGTGCTAAAGTCTCAGGTGTGAAGGAGCGCAGGTTTCTCAGTGGTGAGGGGGTAGAGGACCTCGGTCTTGGGTATGAGGAGCGCTCTTCCTGAAGTTTGTATGTGTTTGTGGCAGGACGCCTGGCTCTCTCTGATGTGTCTCTCCTTCTACCTGAGTGTTTCTGATGGTTGGGGCGGGGAGCTGGGAACCACATCTCTGGTAGCTGAGTGTCTCAGAGCCTACCCTGGGCTCTGTGTCGAGAGGAGAGTATACCATTGTCCTGAGTTCTTTCTCCAGACATGCTCCCCGAGGCAGGTTCCCTGTGGCTGCTGAGGCTGCTCCGGGACATCCAGCTGGCCCAGTTTTACCGATCCATACTCGAGGAGCTGAATGTTACCCGCCCAGAGCACTTCGACTTCGTAAGACCTGAGGACCTGGACGGCATCGGCATGGGCAGGCCTGGTGAGGGACTCCTGTCCCAAGGCCCTAGTCTCTCCTTCCCCAACCTGTTAGTTGCTATGCCCATCCCCCATTCCCCACACCACACGCTAGCCCTCCCCTTGACTTTAAATCCCTTGTATCGTGTCCCCCCCTCCCTGCATACTACCCCAGCCCTCTAATTCTGGCCTCCCCAGCCCAGCGCAGACTGGCTGAAGCTCTGAAGAGGCACCGTGTCAGGCACAAGCCTAAGAACTGGGTCTACAAGGTGTGTGTTTTGAGGTGGGGGTGAGAGGTTTAAAGGGCCAGCTTAGGCTGGGGAATAGGCTGGGCTGAGTGGCAGGGGTATGTGGGTTTCTACACACTTGATTTCCCACCGCTGTTTCAGATCCTTGAGGGGTTTGCCCCTGAGCAGAAGGAGAGCACCCCACCCTCAGACAGCCCTCCATTCCTCCCTGAGCCAGAGGGGGGACTGAAGTGTCTGATCCCAGATGGCGCTGTGAGCAGAGGAGAGCTGCTGGGCTCTGGCTGCTTTGGCGTGGTACACCGAGGGCTGTGGACGCTGCCCAGCGGTCAGAGTGTGAGTACTCAGGGAGCCTCCTGCATTCTGGGTACCTGGGCCAGGTGCACTCTCTTCTGCTGCCCTGTCTGCTCTGATCCTCGTGGAGCTGTTCCCTAGGGTGCCTGATGGTGCTTCCCCCACCCCCAGGTCCCAGTGGCTATCAAGTCCCTCCGGGTGGCTCCGAATGGCCCGGTGGGGACAGAGCTGAGGGACTTCCTTCGAGAGGTGTCTGTCATGATGAATTTGGAGCACCCACACTTGCTGCGTCTGCATGGGCTCGTACTGGGCCAACCTCTGCAAATGGTGAGCAGACCTGACGCTGGCTGGCTCCGGAGTGGGGGTGGGGAGGGGCGTTGCTGAAGTGAGACTGGAGTGTGGGAAGCCAGCGGGCGGACCACCGCTCAGGAAGCGCTGTGCTCCTGCAGGTGATGGAGCTCGCACCGCTGGGCTCCCTGCACGCGCGCTTGACCGCTCCGGCCCCTACACCCCCGCTGCCCCTGGTCCTGCTCTGCCTCTTCCTGCGGCAGTTGGCGGGGGCCATGGCGTACCTGGGGGCCCGCGGGCTGGTGCACCGGGATCTCGCTACACGCAACTTGCTGCTGGTTTCACCCTGCACGATCAAGGTGGCCGACTTCGGGCTGGTGCGCCCTCTGGGCGGTGCCCTGGGCCGTTACGTTATGGGCGGGCCGCGCCCCATCCCCTATGCCTGGTGAGGGTTGGGCCCGGGCGGATAGGTCTGGGAGGGGGGGAGGGGGGGTGGGGCGTCCAGAGGGTGAGGATCTGGAGTACAGTAGCTAGTGGAGGAGGAGTGCGGAGAGAGAGCTGGTCCTCTGAGGGAGGCTGGGCCCAGAGGAGTCTGTGGGTCTGAAAGGGCTTGGGAAGGAGGACTTCTGAGGACAGTGGGAGCACAGGGGCCATGCGTAATGGCAGGTGGGACCTGCAAGGGGCACAGATCCAGTCCCCTTCAGCTCCACTTCCGCAGGTGTGCTCCAGAGAGCCTTCGCCAGGGGGCCTTCTCTTCTGCCTCGGACGTGTGGATGTTTGGGGTGACGCTGTGGGAGATGTTCTCTGGGGGCAAGGAGCCCTGGGCCTGGGTCCCGCCCTACGTCATCCTACAGCGGCTGGAGAAGGACCAAGCCCGACTGCCTAGGCCTCCTCTCTGCTCCAGGGCCCTCTACGCCCTGGCCTTGCGCTGCTGGGCCCTCCACCCTGCTGACCGGCCTACCTTCTCTTGCCTGGAGGGCCTGATCCAAGAGGTGGGAATGCTTACCTCCCCAGACACAGTTTCTCTTCCCTCAAGTTTCTCTCCCTGGTGGGTTCCATGCTCAAGACTAACAATACTGACTCCTGGGCTGGGGTCTAGGACCCCTCTGCTCTGAACAGAACAGATTCAGTTCCTACCTGCAGGACACTAAGAGCCCTGGGGCGCATCTTGGGCTCCATAGAGATAGGCTACAGGGCTGGGGGCTGAGGCTGGGCCACAGAGGGAGGAGTACAGAGCAGAGAGCAGTAGAGTAGATTGCAGTGGGTGTTTGACAGGCAGAGGCAAGTTTCAGCACGGGCGGTTAAGTGCGGTTAAGTACACGTAACAAAGGCAGTGGAAGTGCTCAGGAGCTGCCCCATGAAGGGATTTGTAAGGTGTGATAAATAACCAGAGTTAACATAGAGAGCACTTGATCTGTGTAAGTTACTGTACTAAGTGTCTTATGTGTATCCTTATGCATGTTCTCTCATTTAATCCTCACAACACCCAACCAGGTCATTGTTATCTTGATTTTACAGACTGGGCAGTTGAGGCACTGACAGCTCAGGCGACTTGCCTAAGAGGAACAGTGGGGAACTGAACCAGTCTATCTGATTTCAGAGCTATTCTCTAAATCACTGTACTGTATTGTTGTTGTTTTTGTTTTCTTGAAACTTTTTTAAAATCATTTTTTATTTTTCAATACAGTTGACACAATATTTTATTAGGTTCAGGTGTACACCCCAGTGATTAGGCATTATATAACTTACTAAGTGATCATCCCAATAAATCACATGCCCATGTGACTCAGGGGCGTCCAACCTTTTTGCATCTCTGGGCCACCCTGGAAAAAGACGACTTGTCTTGGGTCACACATTAAAATGCAAACACTAACAAAAACTGAGGAAAAAAAGGTTTTAAGTAAGTTTATGATTTTGTGTTGGGCCACGTTCATAGCCATCCTGAGCCACATGCGGCCTGTGAGCTGCAGGTTGAACACACCTGCTCGTTATTAGAATATTGTTGACTATATTCCCTATGTGGTACTTTATACCCCTATGACTCTTTTGTTACTACCAATTTGTACTTCTTAATCCCTTCACCTTTTTAACCCTCCCCTCCACACCCCCTCCCATCTGGCAGTCTTCAAAATGTTCCCTGCATGTATGAGTCTGTTTCTCTTCTGCTTATTTATTTATTTTGTTTTTTAGACTCAAATGTTGATAGGTCTGTATTTATTGCTATTTTATTGTTCATATTTAAGAAATCTTATTCTCTTTCTTCAAGAATATCATTTAACATTTCATGTGATACTGGTTTGGTGGTGATGAACTCCTTTAGCTTTTTTTCTTTTTTCGGTCTGTGAAGTTCTTTATATGTCCTTCCATTCTAAATGATAGCTTTGCTGGGTACAGTTTGGTTGTAGATCTTTGCTTTTCATCACTTTCAGTACTTCTTGCCAATCCCTTCCAGCCTGAAAAGTTTCTGTTGAGAAATCAGCTGACAGTCTTATGGGAGCTCCCTTGTAGCTAACTAACCGATTTTCTCTTGCTGCTTTTAAGATTCTCTCTTTGTTTTTAACCTTCTGCATTTTAGTTATTTATTTATATATTTATTTATTTATTTTTAGAGACAGGAGAAAAGAAGGAAAGGGACGGGGAGAGAAACATCAATTGGTTGACTCTCATACACACCCAAACGGGAGACCAAAAACGCAACCTAGGCATGTGCCCTGACTGGGAATCAAACCAGTGACATTTTGCTTTGCAGGATGATGCCAAACCAACTGAGCCACACTGGTCAGGGCTTGAATTTTAATTATTATGTGTCTTGGTGTGGGCTTCTTTGGGTTCATCTTGTTTGGGACTCCCTGTGCTTCCTGGGCTTGTATGTCTATTTCCTTCACCAGGTTAGGGAAGTTTTCCATCATTATTTTTTAAAATAGGTTTTCAATTTCTTGCTCTCTCTCTCTTCTCCTTCTGGCACTCCCATGATGTGAATGTAGGTATGTTTGAAGTTGACTCAGAGGCTCCTTACACTATCCTTAACTTCACTTTCTTTGATTTCCTTCTCTTCTTCCCTCCTTCCTTCCTTCCTTCCTTCCTCCCTCCCTCCCTCCCTCCCTCCCTCCCTTTCCTTCTTTCTTTTCACACAGCTCAGGAGCACCATCAGGGATGCTGCTGGCTACTTGTCATTTATTTTCCACTTAGTGCAAGGCACAGTTATGGGGTGTCAGGAAAGTTCGTGTGTGGCTTCGGTAGTAAAGAGCAGGGTTCTCTCGACTTCCTTTTTGGTGTTTTGCTGTTTTTCTATAAAAGTACCCACCTACTTCTGCTTGCTGCAGCCTGCCTAGGCTATGGGGTGGGATGAGGAGGGGGTAGGGGGTAGAGAAGGACGGGTATGGAGAAGGTCTCAAAAGAGCCTAGTGCCTCTGGAAGTCTGATGGTGGGTGGTGGCCACTCAGGATGAGGGCCCAGAGTTGACTTTGCCAGGCTGGCTGCCATATGGCTTCCTTGTGGCTTCCCAAGCCAAGTCACAGGTGATCATGCTGCTGGAGGCCTGGGGAGATTTCGAGTGCTTTGGGGATTCCAACACTGTGGCCATGAACGGGAGAGTGGACTTCCCAAAAAAGAAGCTCACCGACAGTGACCTGGGTCAGCTCTCAGGAGACCAGAGTTGTGGGGGACGTCTTCCCCAGGGTACTTGGCTCTTCCGCGGGAGCTGTACTGAAAGTGGAGCCCAGGTGTCACTGGTAGCAGTCGTTGGTAGCCACAAGTGAACTGCCTGAGGGGATGGCTGCTATGCACCTGGTTGTGGACTGTTGGAAACCTTGACGGTGACCCTTTGCAGGCTTCAGCGCATGACCATGGGAAGCAGGAACAGGGGTGTTAGGCCACAGAATCTATTTGCAGAGGAGGCTGTGGGAGGGTGATCTATGAGCTGTGTGGGGCTGTTTTTGCTATTCTGATTAGGTGTTTTTTGCTTCCTTATATTCCAAATCACCATTTTGATTCCCAGCGTCATCTACTCTACTATTGATTCCCTGTAAATTATTCTTCATTTTGGTTAGTGTATCTTTCATTTCTGACTGGTTCTTTTTTACAGTTTCCAAGTCCTTTTTTATGCTGTTGAAGTTCTCTCTAAGTTCATCTACTCTTCCCCTAAGTTCATCGAGCATCCTTATAAACCATGTTTTGAACTCTGCATCTAATAGATTGCTTGTCTCCATTTTGTTTAGCTCTTTTTCTGGAGTTTTGTCCTGTTCTGTCATTTGGGACATGTTTCTTTGTCTCCTTCCTCATTTTGGCAGCCTCCCTGTGTTTGTTTCTATGTATTAGATAGAGCTGCTGCATCTCTGGGGCTTGATAGAGTGGCCTAATGTAGTAGGTGTCCTGTAGGGTCCAGTGGCAGTCTCCCCATTCAGCCAAGCTGCACTCTACAGATGTGCCCACCCGTTCGTGTGTGTGGGCTGTGTACACCATCCTGTTGTAGTTGAGCCTTGATTGCTGTTGAGGGGATATCCCCAGGTCGACCAGCTGCAAGGACTGGCTGAGACCACTGGGGAGGATCAGCTATGCAGGGGTCCACCCCACAAATCAGGACTTACTTCAGTGGGGCTCTCATGCCCTCTGAGTCTACCCCTTGAGTGTGTCATTTGTGGAGGTGGTTGGGTGGCACTTCAAAATCATCTGAAGCTGTAAACCAGGTGTGCTAGCTCTGGGGCTTCCCAGGAGGTGCAGGCCAAGATCAGCCACTGCTTGTGTTCTGCCCAAGGCCACCTGGCATGAGCTACAAAGTGATCTGTAGGTGCTGTGCTTGGAGATGCCCAGGAGAGGCCAAGCTGCAAATCAAGGTCAGCTGCTGCTGGTACTGGACCTGGGGCCACTTAGTGAGAGATTTGGGACACACCAAGGTCAGATGTTGCTTGTTTGAGAGATTTTGGGAAAGTCTGAAGCATGAGCTAAGGGAGGCCATTTGTATGGAAAAGCCACTGGAAACAGCTTGAGTGGACCCAAAAGATGGTGGGATGGAATCAGAGGAAATCAGCAGGACAGGGAGAACAGTGATAGACAAGTTGATGGAGACTCCTATGTAGCACCCTCCTGCCAGCTCTGTGGGGGAAGGGCTCAGAAAAGGAACAGTGGCCTCTTCTAGCACTTTTACATGGAAGAAAGCTGCCCCTCTGGTTCTCATGCTGATGTTGGACATTTCACTTCCTCCCTCTATGTCCCTGGTGTTTTTCTACCTGCTGATCCAGCAATGGAGCTCAAAATGAGTGAGTCTAAGTAAGTCTGTGCTCGGACCCTTTAAGAGGAACTGCCTGGGACTCACTCAATCACAACCCCTGCTGATTTTCACAGCCAGATGTTATGGAGACTTCTCTTCCTGGCACTAGAACCTTGAGGTGGGAGGCCTGGTGTGGGGCTGAGACCCCTCACTCCTCAAGGGGGACCACCAGCCAAGATACCCCCCAATTTTTGTCTGGCTTATGTGGGTGTGGGACCAGCACATTCCACATCTTTGTCCCTCCTGCCAGTCTTGATGTAGCTTCTTTATATCCTTAGTTGTAGGTCTTGCACTCAGCTAGATTTCAGGTGGTCCTAAAGGATGGTTGTTCTGTAGTTTAGTTGTATTTTTGATGTGGTCGTGGGAGGGTGCAAGTGCTGCATTTACCTCTGCTGCCCTCTTGACTGGAAGCCTATACTTTACTGTTAAAGGAGTTTAGTCTTTACTCTGAGGGAACTTGGGAGCCATGAGAGTTTTGATCAGGGAAGTAACAAGGCAACTTTACATACTGTATCACTCTGGCTTGGCTCAGGAATGGATTAAAGGGGTGATGCTGAAGATGGGAAGACCCGGTAGGAGATAAAGGCTGTGAAGTGGAAGTGGTATGAGAAGGTCTGGATGAGAGTCAAGTCAGTGGCGCCGGAGAGAAATGGAACGTTTCCAGGGGTGCTTGGGAGGTGGACGGGATAGGCCTGGTGCGGAGTGAGAGCAGTATGTAGGGGAACGCTCCGCTTGATCTCCCTAGGTAGAGACAGACCCCCCTTTTGCTGCTCTCTGACCCCCCTGACCCCTAGACTGTATTCAGCTTTGCATGGAATCCAGGTCTACTCCCCTTCCACCGGACTACAACTGGGGGACAGGGACAGTCCCATCCGGGGCCTAGGACAGAGGACACACCTGGTATGGGTTCAACTGGCGGGTGCATAAAGAGGAGTCTCCCTTCCCCCCTGCTCCATGATACCCTTCTGACAGGCCACAAGTGCAGCCACCCTTTCCTCTTGTCTCTGTAGGCCTGGCCTCCTGAGGGGCATTGCGTGAGGGATGTCACAGAGCCAGGGGCTCTGAGGATGGAGCCTGGTGATCCCATCACTATCATCGAGGGCAGGTGAGGGCCTCATGTTTCCGATGAATCCTCCCAACCTGCCTGACCCTGTTTCCCTCTTCGCTTCTCCCCAGCTCCTTCCACCCTGATCCTCTGCTTCAGTTCCTCCTCTTCCCATTGGGCCCTGAGAACTCTACCAAGCCTGGCCCCCCCGGCTGGAGCTGCCAGGGCCTATAGAGCCCTATTGTGTTAGGGGGAAAAGGCTTTCCTTCCTCCAGGCAGATGCAGCTCCAGGGCACACAGCTTGTGAGGTGAATGCGGGCGGGCACCCAGCCTCCACTCCCCGCTTGCTCTCACCCCCGTCACCAGTGCCTCTTCCGGCAGCCCCGGCTCCACAACCTGGAAGGGCCAGAATGGTCGCACACTGAAAGTAGGCAGCTTCCCAGCCTCAGCCGTGACGCTGGCAGGCTTGAGGGACTCGCCAGCCACCTGCCCAGTCCACCGAGGCTCCCCTGCCCGGGGAGAGCAAAGACGAGGAAGCACGGATGGGTGAGGACCTGAAAGAGTGGGCTAGGGGAACCAACCGAGTTCAGCAACTACCCTGGAAGGGAAGCTTGGGTGAGTCCAGGGTAAAGCGCGGAGGCTGGACTTGCCTTCCAGGTGGAGCTTCCACTCTCTGGGTCTCAGTCAGCTGGGGAGCCCCAGAGATTCTTTGGGAGGGGACATTGATATGTGCAGGGGGAGGGGCTGGGGTGGAGAATGAGCTGGATCACTCTCCAACAGGGTCCGACCGAAGGCAAAGCTTCGGGAGCTACCTCCAGCAAAGGGTCAGAGAAGGAACGTGCCCCTTCAGAGGATAAAAGGTGACTGTGGTGGGGGGGCAGGACCCAGGTTCTCTGAGATCAAGAACAACCCTCCATCCCTGGCTGGCATGGCTCAGTGGATTGAGTGCCAGCCTGTGAAGCAAACGGTCACCAGTTCGATTCCCAGTCAGGGCACATGCCTGGGTTGCAGGCCAGGTCCCCAGTAGGGGGCACGCAAGAGGCAACCACACATTGATGTTTCTCTCCCTCTTTCTCCCTCCCTTCCCCTCTCTCTAAAAATAAATAAAATCTTTTTTTTTTTTTTTTTTAAAAAGAGCAACCCTCCAGTTCTGCCCCCTGCTCTGAATCCATGCCTTTGCACCTATGATCTCCCCACACATGACTTCCTCCCCCGACTTCATTCTGCCTGTTAACATCCATCCCAGCTGTACGTTAAGATCTGCCTTCTCCACTGACAGCCTCTTCCCATGCACCCCCTGCACACTCAGTTCTTTGGGTCCCCAAGCCTAAGCCTGGGTGTCTGTTCTGCACACCTGACTTATCGTCCCAATGGCTGACACAAGGGCCACCTGAGGGTAGCACAAATAGAGAGGGAGTGGGAGGGAGACAGGACCCAGCATCTGGGCTTCCTCTCAAGTTGCTTTTTTTCTCCACTGTGCAGGCATTTCCAAGAGTCTGGAATCTGTTCTGTCCCTGGGCCCATGCCCCACGGGGGGTGGTTCAAGCCCCCCCGAACTTCGACATGCCCGAGATGTGCCCCAGGGACCCCCAGGCCTGTCAGCCCGCCCTCCCTTTGCCGCCAGCTCTTCTCAGCTCAGCCAGCCCCCCAGGGAGCGGCCAGCTTGGCCCAAAAGAGAACCTCTGTACAATAACCCCTTGGAAGTACCTGGAGCCAGCAAAGCCGCTGTTTCTGATCCTAAGTTGCAGAAGAGGGTTATGGAGGTGAGGTCTCCCTGAGTGGCCTAGTGTCCAGAAGGGGTTACAAGCTGGGCAGGAGCCTAAGTGAGGCTTTGTCCCCTGCAGGTGGAGCTGAGTGTACATGGGGTCACCCACCAGGAGTGCCAAGTGGCACTAAGAGCCACTGGGGGAGATGTAGTTTCTGCCATCCAGAACCTTAAGGTAAAGCCGGCCCCTTCTCTTGGGTTCCGCCTCTCCTGCCCCGTCCTCTGGCAGTCAGCTTTCCTCCCTCCTGCTTCCACAGGTAGACCAGCTCTTCCACCTGAGTAGCCGGTCCAGAGCCGACTGCCGGCGCATCTTGGAGCATTACCAGTGGGACCTCTCAGCGGCCAGTCGCTATGTTCTGGCTCGGCCCTGAGCTTTGCTCCCTTAGACATGGACACCAGCATGCACCGAGGGCCTGACCATGTGGGACCGAGCAGAACCAGAGCAAGGTCCTGAAAGGGCGCACTTCCCCACCTGGAGAGAACCTGCTATGGGCAGGGGCAGGAGGAGCCCAGGCAGCGGCCCTGACGAGTGTCTCCTCCTACCTTTGCGTCTGAAGGCTCAAGTTCCCTTGGCTGGGTCATAGAAGGATCTCGTCCATCTGCCCTCCACATTTCCAACCAAGGGGAGGACTTGGAGGAACCGAACTCCTACACATCATCCCCATACGAAGCTTCTACTCGCTGCAGAGAATGATTAAGTGGCCACACTAAACCAGGGGAACAGCCATCCCTAGCTGCCATCAGCTACCACGCTGGGCCACCTTGGATGACAGAAGCAGCCACAGTGACTTGGGGCACCTGGCCCAAACCGCCTTGGCTTGGGCCGCAGACATCATGGGAGATGAAAGCTGCTCTCTGTGACCCCGGCAGCATGGGTTATGAGGTGGGCGGCCCCCGCCCAGCCCAGCTGTCATATTTCCCTTTGTTTCTTCCCGCACCAACTCTTTCTTCTACCCTCTCCCATCACATATATCTTCCAATGTCCAAAAAGTTACAAAGTTTATATGAATATAACATACAAAGATGCAGCCTCCTTTGTAGGAACAGGGAAGGAGGGGTGGTTAAGTAAGGCACAGGAAGCTGCAGCAAGCACCAGCTGTGGGAAAGCCCCAAGGGGAAGAGGAGGCTGGCACGGGGGCCTAGGCCCTAGAGCTGTTGCTGGGGAAGTGGGGCTCCCCCTAAGTGCCATGGTCGGAGGCTGAACTAAGTGGTCAAGCTGATGCAGGGAAGGGTGGCTGTATCAGCCATCTTTGGTGCTGCTTACCTTCCCCACCCTGGCTCCTGTGGTAAAACCCCAGAGCCCTGGATTCCAAAAACCTCAGCCAGAGTAGAGGCCCTGGAACTGGGTGGGAGGAAGCGAGCAGGGAGTCTAAAAGCCAATATGCCGATATGCCTTGTGCTGAGGGATTGCCAGAGACAATGGTGAGAGGTAACAGGGGAAGGGCTCTCATACATACCCTTCTCTGGGGGCCACAGGTGAAGGAGGCCAGGGGAGTAGGGTAGGGGCGGGGCACCATGGTCCCCAGCTTCTTAGGCGTCCCTGTTTGTCCCCAGTAGTGTACATGGGCGGAAGGGGCCGCCTCTGAGGAGGGGCCAGGCCTGGCCAGGTGACCGTCTTGGATTCTGGTTGAGGTGATAGTCTCCTCACCCTGAGGCGACGTCTAACTGGTGATGGCAGAGGGCCCCGTGCCTCCACGCTTCTCGAAGAACATGTAGTCCTGAGGGGAGGGTACCGTCAACAGGAGATGTGGCTGGGCCAGCCTGGCTCAGCTACCATAACCCAGGTCTGGAGCTGCAACCCGCCCATAAAGTCTGTCCCTAACCTTCAAGCAGGAGGCCAGGAAGTACAGAAAGCCTCCTGTGGGAGCAAAGGAGGAGCAGCCAACTCACAATGAGGAATGTGGCTCCCAGCAGTACAGCCTTCACTTTCACGTCCAGATCCAGCGGGAACTGCAAGCCAAAGTCATCTGCATCCGTGAGGGCTTCTTGGAGCAGCCCCCCCCACTGCTTGCTGATGCGGCCCACACTGCGGGACTCATCCAGAGTCTTCACCTGTCAGGAGGGAGAGAGGGAAGGAGACGAGGCCCAACTAGAGTAGATGCGCCGGCTCTCACCCCTCTCCAATCTCACTCCCCTGTCACCCTGTCTGAACTGCGCTGACTCTACACTTAGTGAGTCCTCCCAGCCGCCTTGGGTTTCCATGTGACTTCTGGGGAAACTGAGTCACCTTCAGTCACACTGTAAGTATATAGCAAAAATCAGGATTCAGACTTAGATCTGTTCCTCTTGAAGGGCCAACCTGACAACTGAACATCAGTGGTGAGAACAACGGAAGCAGAAGAGTTATCTCAGAGTATGGCTGGTTGCTAGGTTTGTTTTCATTACCAAAGTCCCTGCCACCCGCATATGGTGCAGTTTATGCCCTGCACAAAGTAGCTTGGCCAAGAGGGCAAGGGAGGCTGCTAAAATCCTGGCGGCACCCTATCAGCCAACCAAGCTCCTAGAAGACTGTGTCTGCCCAAAGGGGTGCCTTTGCTCTGCAAAGTAGGGAGGGCTCTGTCCAGCACACATGCAGGCCTCAGCTAGAGGGGCCCCAAGCCCATCTGCTGGGGGTGGGGGGGAAGGGCGGCAGTGAGCAGCCTCTGAGAGTTCATGTTTCTCTCTCCCTTCCTCTCTCTCTAAAATCAATAAACATATTCTTGGGTGAGGATTATAAAAAAAATCGAGGCCTAAGCGGTGTGGCTTAGCTGGTTGAGCACTATCCTGCAAAGCAAAAGGTCACCGGTTCAGTGAGTGGCCTGGGCGCATGCCTGGGTTGTGGGTTCCGCCCCCAGCTGGGGCATGTGCGAAGGGCAGCTTTCCCCTGAACTCTCAGGGCCCGGCAGCAATAGGCCCTGCTGCTGGAGGGGGTGTTCACAGTGACTCCCTGGTCCTTTTCCTATGCTCATTCTCCAGGGACTAGAACTAGTGTGACTTCCTTCTATGTTCTTCCCATCCCCTTCCCTCACTGCTGGGGGAGAGAAAGAGAGACACTGACATAAGAGAGAAACCTGGATCTGTTGCCTCCTGTGCAGGCCCTGACCAGGGACTGAGCCCCACAACCTTTTGGTGCACGGACGACACTCCAACCAACCGAGCCACCTGACCAGACCAAGGTCACTCGATTTTTAAAAGTAACTTTACGTAGCTGCAATGCCTCATCAGATGCCTTCAAAAGTCTACTGGATTATACCTATTGTTTCTGCCTTATCTGCATAGATAATTATCCCTTAAAGAATTCAAGGGTCTGTAAAGTGACTTTGTCTTCCAGAAGCAAAGGTGCTTCCCAGGCATCACACTGAAACTGTCACCACTTGAGTTCTCCAGGCTCCATGTTGGTGACAGGAATGCATGGTGAGAAGGGTATCACCTGGATCCCAGGTTGGAGGGGCCATTTGGACTCCTAGGTTGGCAAGCAAACCACAGGATGTTAACACATTAAATTAGTGCTTGCTCCAGGGCCCGAGCTCACAGACTCATGCACAGCAACCACAATGGTCCAGCCCACAGCAGACTCAATAATCGTCCTTCACTCTAAATCCAGCCTGGCCTTAGATCCGCGCCCCCACCCCCCAACACAGGGCTGCAGGTAACAACTAACAGCGACCCTCAAGATGAGACGCTCTTTGTCATGCTTTTATAAGACCATGGAGCCACCCTATTTCTGAATGGAGGAACACTGCAAGTGTGGTAGGAGTCAGTGAATTTGGATTGATGAGCTTGGTGTCTTGACCTTAGCAATGTTGGCCCTCCTGCCTGGTAGAAGCTGCCATCTTGATTTAGGAAGTTCCCAGGAATTCCCCCTTATTCCTGATACCTCAAAGTTGGTGTCTGCACCGCAACCACAGGTGGAGCAGGGCCCCACCACTCGCAGGAGCGTATGGCGATCGGCATCCTGAATGGAGAACTTGGGGAGGAAGGGATGCCAGGTCTGCAGCACATGGCCAATGGTGGTGCCGGGTGGAGACTGTACTTCCATCTGAAGTGGGAGGCCCACAGGGTTACTGCTGCGTCAGGGCACCCTGGCCCAAGCTCTCACCATTCCAGCTCTGTCTCCTGTTTCCCCTCAAAAGACCCCCCAGCTCTTTCACTAGACCACCTGTTTCCCACTAGACCTCTGATCCCACCTGTTTACTCCCACACCTCCTGCTGACCATGCTCCATCATTGGTCCTCCGCGTTACTGCCTGCCCCCTACCCAAACCTCTCCCTGACCCATCCCTCTCCGCCCACCTCCTGGAGGCCACAGGGGCAGCAGCCGCAGCCACAGTGGAGGGGGCGGAGCAGGCGCAGCACCTCTCTGTCCCCGGGGTCCACCAGACGGACACGAAGGGGCCGGCGGGCGCCGCAGCACAGACGGGCACAGCAGTTGCTCTCTTCAGCCGCCTGACCCAGGGGCTGTCCCGCGGCTGAGCGCAGTTCATACCGGTTACCTGTCTCCCAGCCTAGGAGGGCTGCCAAGGGGTGACACGCAAGCTCAGGCACCAGCACCTGCCCAACAGCCCACTATCTCTGCCCCCATCACACGGCCCAATCTACTCGTCCTTCCACTCACTTTCCACTCGTTCAACCTTCTGGTGAATGAAGATCTGATCAATCTGGAAAGACACGAAGGGCCACACCCATCTCAGCGGGCAGGCCTCCATGCTTCGGTCCCCTCCCGGTCGCTGTGCCCTCCCCACCTCCCACTCACCTGCACCAAGAATTCGAGGCCAGAAGGCACTCCGGGCAGTGGCAAGAAGGGGGCAGCAGGCCCCGGGGCACCAGGGCCAGGCGAGGGGAAGAGAGCGAAGCCAGGAGCAGGGGCAGGCACGTGGGCGGGCACTGGAGCCTGCCCCGGCCCGGGATGCTGTGCCGCCTCTGGGTACCCAGCGGTCACAGGGTAGGGAGGAGGGGGCGAAGGGGCGTAGCCCTTGGGGGGCAAGTATCCTGTCGGGGGACAGGGGTAGATAAGAAACGGACCTGTGGCCACATCCCCTTCCCGTTAACCCGTGGGAGACCGCGAGGCTGCGGGGAAAACGTAGTGAGAACAGACTGAAAAAGATGGGGCGGGGGAGCAGGGCGGAGGCTGCCTGGGAGGAAGGGAGGGGCCCCACCCAGCCAGTCCGAGCACATTCCCAGAGGATGCGTACGACACCCAGCTCCCAAGTCCGTGGCGGGGGTGGGGGGGTAACGGAGACCCCCGGCCTTGCGCCCACTTACCTGCCATTGGAAAGGGATGAGGGCGCGCGGGTTGTGGGTGTCCCGGAAGCGCTTAGTTCTAGAAGTGGAGGCAAGCTCGGAGACAGCCAGAGAGACACAGAGACAGACACAAAGACGGACAGGAAAACGCGGAGAGACAGCTGCGCCCGGCGCCCGCCCAGAGTCTTTTGGGCTGGGCCTCTCTGACTCGGGGAGAAACCGAAAGTGTCAGCAGGCGGGGCAGAGTACCTGGGACCCTGGATTCCCTCTGGGGTTTCCAGAACCGCCCCCTCCCTTTGTTCTCCCATTTTCCGCGGAGGCGGCTGTTGGGAAACGGCAGAACAGATGGACCCACGATCAGACCGACGGCCCGACCCAGAGGGAGGTGCCCTGACCACTCTGCGCCCCGCAGCTCACCTGAAGCCCCTAGAGTGGTGGGGTGCCCAGCGCAACGAGGCTCTAAAGAGCTAGTGGAGGCGGGCCCAGATGTGACTCCGCCCCCTCGACCGTCTAGGCCCCGCCCCCGGCCTGGGATCCGTGCTTGCGCAGAAAGGACGCCGGCTCTCCAAGCCTGGCCGCGGACTCAGGAGGGCGAGCTCCTTTGCTTGGTTGGCGTCCCCGCCTCTTCCGTTTGACTGCCGAAGACCAGAGAGGAAGCTCTGCCGGGGAGGGCTGCCGGCTGAGACCCATCCCTGCTACCCCCGCCACGTCTGCGTGCGCTGAGTGTTCAGCGCGCCTCGATAGAAAGCAGGGACGGTTGGCTCCGCTCGGGGCCCCGGGCTCCTTCTCCCAAGGACGATTCGGGCCTCGCTGACGCAGCGGAACACCCTTCATACTCGTTCATTTGACTCTAGAACTAGCTCCTGGCTCCCTTTCCACCTTCCTGGAGCTACCTCGCAGTCTCCTTTCCCTGACGCTGCAGTGAGCCACACGGATACCTTGCAATGACAGTACTTCTTTCGGGTGTGCCAGGCCCGCAGGTGACAGGCAATCAAATAGTGTCAGTAGTGAATGTGCAAGATGCGAGGTTCAGGGAGACCAGAAAAGTCAGCACAGTCAGCAGGAAAGGCTTCCACCAAAAGGGGTCGCTTCTTTTAGGTCCTGGGCAGCGATTTCAGGCGTGAGGGAGTCCTGTACCTTGGGTGCCTATAGGCTGAACGGCAAGAGGTGAATTTAGAGAGGGAGGCCAGCTCACGTGCACAGAAGGCCTGTAGGAGTTGGGACTTGGCCCAAAGGGCAGCAGGGAGTCCATTGAAAGATTTTAAGACTAAATGTAATTAAGAAAAGTTTAAGGTCAAATTTTGTTTTAGAACTGCAATGTGGAGAACGGGGGCACCCAGGCTGGGTTGTTGGCAGTAATCTGGGGGAGAGGATGGCTGTAATAGCGCAGACCGATTGCAGTGGCAGATTTTGGAGGTATTTAAACAATATAGAACGTGTTTGGGGTCCTGACCCGTGTAGCTCTGCTGATTGGGTGGCGTCCCACAATGCAAAAGGTTGCTGGTTAAATTCCCTCCCTGTAAGGAAACGTGTCTGGCCTGCAGCCTAGTCTCCGGTGGGGCGTGTGCAAGATTCAACCAATCTATGTCCTCTCACACACCCTTGTTTCTCTCCTTCTCTTTCTTCCTCCCTTCCTCTCTCTCTAAGAATAAATAAATAAATATTTTTTTAAAAAACAAACCTTGTTTGAGGATGAGATTAATGGTAAGGAGTCCAGGATGACCTCAGGTGCCTGCCTGCTGAATAGGCAGATGAAAGAGAAACTCATCAAGATAAACATGGGGAGCCCTGACTGGTGTGGTTCAGTGGATTGAGTGCTGGCCTGTGAACCAAAGAGTCACCAGTTCAATTCCCAGTCAGGGCACATGCCTGGGTTGCAGGCCAGGTCCCCAGTAAGGGGTGAGTAAGAGGCAACCACACATTGATGCTCCTTTCCCTCTCTTTCTCCCTTCCTCCCTTCCCTTCTCTCTAAAAATAAATAAATAATAAATAATTGGGCCCCACTTTGTATAAACTAAACTAGAATACCTGGTGTGAGGTGCCGACATAAGAACTTTTTGAGAATTCTTCAGCAGCTTTTAATGCGCAGGTAAGGCTGAGGGCTACTGTGTTAGGGGGCTCTCTCTCCCTCCTTTGTCCAGAGTGGGCTGAAGGTAGAAGGCAAGGCAGAAGGAAGTTCTTGCAGAACACTAGGTGACATTTGATGGTGGCTTGGGCTAGGGGCCAGAGTGATAGCAGTGCAGGTGGTGGGAAATGGTAAGATTCCAGTTATATATCTGAGCCAGCAGGACTTGCTGATGGCTTGGATATAGGATGTCAGAAAAAGGGAAGTCAGAGTTGGCTCAGGCTTGTCCTGGGAGGCCCGTCACAGTGTGGCCTGTACACTTACTCTGTTTTGTCCTTTCCTCCTGCCTGCTCCATCCTGAATGCTCCAGGCACTCCTGTTTTCCCTCTTGGTTTTTAATTTCATTTATTTATTTATTTGTTTGTTTATTTATATTTTTTGGGTGGGGAGAAGGGAAGGAGAAAGAAAGAGAGAGAAACATCATGTGCAAGAGAAACACTGATCAGTTGCCTCTCTCACTCCTTCAACTGGGGACTTGGCCTGCAACCCAGATATATGCCCTGACCAGGAATCCCACCGTCGACCTTTAGGCTTGTGGGACAACACCCAACCAACTGAGCCACTCGGGCCTCCCTCTTGTTTTGTTACCAGTATGATTTTTGTCCCTTTAATTATGCCTGCTGAAAACACAACAGTGGTCTGAAGTCTTACCAGTCCCCAAAGGCAAAATAAACCCACCAGTTTCTACTTGTAATTATGGACACATTGTATCAAATTATGTTTTAAAAGATCTGTCTTCACTGTTGTTTTTGTATCCAAATGTTTTTTTGGGTTGGTTCCCCACTCATCTTGATTCAGGGTGCTTTCAGTGCTGCTTCCTTCTGGAGGAGAATCCTTCTGGAAGCCTTGCTTGTCCTCCTGCAGGCTGACACAGGACGGTGGAGCAGCCAACACACAAAACAACTGTTTGTGTGTGGCTAAAGGCGGTGGTGCTTTCATAGCATCCTGAGCATTTCACATCCATGAAGTAGGAGCTGGGACTCGGCACCAGCCGCTTCTTCTTGTGTTTCCTCTTTTCTTCTGGAGAGGGATGGAGATCCTTAGCGAGAGGCATGTTGTCATGGGGATGTCGTCACCACCTGAAAGTGTCTTCACTGTTGAAATCTGAGTTTCTTTGTACGTGCACGAAGAGAACTTAGCTCTAGGAATTAGGCAGAGAAGAGTTTGAATCACAGCTTACCCAGGTCCTGTGATACAGAACAAGTTACTGTACTTCTCTTAGCTTCACTTACCACTAATTTTCAGGACTGGTGAAAAGACTGGATGCAGTATGTAGTAATAATAGGGACAAATTATTAAGCAGGCCTCAGTCATATTGATTCCTCAAGAGGCAAGCCCGCTGGCAGGACCAAAGCAAAGTAAGGTATTAGAGATCCCATTACCTGGAGGGTGGACATTCCAGAAGCCAAGGTCTCCTCCACCTGGAGGTTCCCTATGTCCCAGACATTGCCTGAGATCCAGTATATTCTGGGCCACTCTGGAGGTTCCCTCTGGGGGCTTATTTTACTCATCTTTAAATAAAGAAGGGAAGAAATACTGTGACCCTCCGCACCTCAAACCATGTCTCACTCCCTGGATATAAGGCATCAGCGGCTCCCCATCACCCCCAGAAAACAATCCAAGTCCTCAGCACAGTCTCCCCACCATGTGGCCCCTGCCCTCCCTATCTTTCACTGCTCCCCTGTCATGATCTTCACACCAGTCACCAGGAATCCTTTCAGGTCTTGAATGCACTGGGCTCTCTCTTGCTTCAGGACTGTCTGGAGAGCTCTTGCCTTGGTCTGGAACATGCCCATTTCTCTCCTCATCACGTAACTCCTTCAAGTCTCCACCGAACATTCTGCTACACTGCAGCTGCCACAGCAGCCTGGAGCTTGGTAGGACTTCAGGTGGGAGATAGAAATTCTGGATTTAAAAGTATGCAGACCCTACTTAAAGATGGGGGGCTAAATGAGATTATCTAAAAATCCTCAATTACAGAAATGGTCTGTACTTTTTAAACGGCACACCTTCAGGAAAATTAAGTATGCAACTCCAGTATATTATACTGATATGCACTTTATAAAACATACACAAAGGTAGAAACGAAAAAGAAGGAAATCAAAATACATATACATAGGAGTTCTAATTTTTTCATTAAAAATTGGAAACCAATTATTTAAACTGCATAGGGGAGGAAAAGCCGACAAAGTAGCCACAGGGACAGGGAAAACCAGAAGAGTGGTGTCATAGATGCAACATGATGCATTTCAAGGACAGTGTGGCCAACTGTGTCAAATGCTGTAGAAAATGAGATCGAAAATCATCCATTAGATCTGGCAACCAGGACGTCCTGTGAGTCACGGAAGCCTTCTAAGGGCATTTATGGGGAAGAAATGGGATGGAGGACTGACCAGAGTGGGTTGAAGGGTAAACTTGAGTCCAGACCTCTCCTAGAAGCTCAGACACCTCCTGGAGTTCCCCAAATGCCTGCCTGGCACCTCCATTTGGATGTCTCTTGGACATTTTGGAAGCATCATGTCCCAAAGCAACCTGATTTGCCTCCCCCTAACCTGCCCCTCCTTCGGTTCTTCTCAGCTGAGTAACAGTACCTCCATCCAATCAGGTGTGTAAACCAGAATTCTCCCTCTCATCCACCCCTTCCATGCAATGCATCTGCAAGTCCTATCGGCACTATCTTAAAAATATATTCTGGATCGTTTTCACCACCTTTCCCACCCTAAGCCAAGCCACCATCACCATCTACCCCCTGGACCTCTGCAGCGGCCTCCTGACTGGTCTCCCTGTTGCCATCCTCCAACTTGTTTTCCAGCTATTTTATTTTATTTTTAAAGACTTTTATTTATTTTTAGAGGTGGAGAGAAACATCAATGTGTTTGCCTCTTGAACGCCCCCTACTGGAGACTGGGCCCACAATCCAGGCACGTGCCCTGACCAGAAATGGAACCTGCGACCCTTTGGCTCACAGGCCAGCACTCAGTCCACTAAGGCACACCAGCCAGGGCCTCCAGATATTTTAAACATATCAGATTTTAATACTCTCACTTTAAAAGCCTTTCAGTGAAGTGATGGCAGGAAAATGGAGACAACTGTACTTGAACAATAAAAAAAATTAAAAACATAAAAACCTTTCTACGATTTATTGTTGCACTACAAAGAAATTGAGTGTCTGCCTGCAAGGCCTGCACTGACCATCCGGGACCCCCACTCACTCACCCAGTGTTGGCCACACTGGTTTTACTTTTTCCAACTCACCCACTTTCTCCTGTCTCAAAGGTTTTGAACTGCTCCTTTTTGGTCTGTTTTGCCAGCTAGACTGTCTGCCTAGAATACACTTCCTCCCAGTGTTGCACACGGTTAGCTGCAGCTTCAAATGGACCTCGTCTGGGAGGTCTTCCCTTCAAAAGGGGCACACCCTCTACTGCTCCACTGTTCCACGGCCCCCATTCTTTTCCTTCAAGCACAGCACAACTCCAACGATACATTTGTGTTTAGTTGTTTAAATCCATTTCCACTACTAAGTGGAAAATTCCATTAGGGAAAGGATGGCATCTACCTTGTTCGCAGTTGAATTTCCTTTTGTGTGATACTTGATCCATTAGGGAAAGGATGGCATCTACCTTGTTCACAGTTGAATTTCCTTTTGTGTGATACTTGATCAGTACTTGATGAGTACCAACTTACTAAACGCTGCCCCATCTCCCAGTTCTCTTCACGCTGTGGGGGCTCCTCCAGCCTCCTGGTCACCCCTCCTCGGAAACTTGGCCCACACTGGACTCCTTTAGTTTCATACTTCTCCACTTCCACCTGTCTCTTTTCACAGTTCCTTCACACAACTGAGTTAAGGTTCATCTCAAACATTGTGCTGCATCCTAATAGATGATGTTCTATCCCTTCTTTGAACCCCAAAGTATACTGTAACTACAGTAGCCCAACTGTATCCAAAAAGGATATGTTCCAAGACCCCCTGTGTATGCCTGAAACTGCAGGTAGTACTGAACCCTATACATACCGTTTTTTCATGTTGGACTGTTAGCTGAAGCCTTTGTATAGACTCAATGCTTTTTGGCATGACAGACTGCCAACTACCAGAACACATTTCCTGTTTATATCTTCCACCCACCAATTCAATGCCTTTTCCATCTCAACAAAGCATTTATCATGCATTGTGGCTGTAACTTTTGCAGCTTAAGGTACAAGAGCAAAAGGAGCACCTATGTCTTCCTTCTTCACAACTTCACAGAGAGAAAATCCATTCTGACTGTAAATCTTAGCAACCTCAGCATGACTTTTTATTCTTTCCTTAAGTCAAGAATTTTCACCTTTTCACTTAAAGAAAACACTTCACAGTTTCTCTTTGGCATATCCAAACTGCCAGCATCACTACTCTTGTGCTTCGAGGCTCTTAAGTAAAATGAGGGTTACCTGAATACAAGCATTGCGATACCATAACAGTCAATCTAATAACTGAGATGGCTACTAAGTAAATAATGGGCTGCTAACTCTGGACAGAGGGATGGTTCGCAGCACAGTGAGACGGTGTGGAATGGTCTGAGATTTCATCACACTCCTTAGAACAGCACACCATCTAAAACTTACGAATTATTTCTGGAATTTTCTATTTTGTATTTCTGGGCCACAGATGACTGTGGATAACTAAAACTGTGCAAAGTAAAATCATGGAAAGTAAAACCACAAATAAGAGGGGGCTGCTGGAATGGCACCCCTCCTGCCCTTCCTTGCCTTACCCCAACTTCTAGAGAGAGTGCTCAATGAGTTTGTGGAATGACAGGGCACTACTCTACAGTAATCCTCAAATTCTAGTGAGCATCTGAAGACGAGCTTATTAGAATACAGATTCCCAGGCCTCAAAGGCGGCTTCCGTGAGAATCTGCATTGTTTCGAGCATTCTTTAAGACTCCGATACCAGTTTAAGAACCTCACAACAAATTAACTTGAGGTGCGCGGCGCTGGTGGTGTAGTGGTGAGCAGAGCTGCCTTCCTAATGAACTTGAGGTGAATGGAATCCTCAGACCCAAAGCTCACTGGTTCAGTCTTAGGAAAGGGATGGAGTTCAGAAGTTGAAAAGCCCTACCCTTCCTCCTCCAAGAGGTTAAATGAACAAAGACTCCAAAGTTGTTTACTTGCCTTTCTCTTTTAATCCCCTCCCTGCTCCAACACTCAAAAAAGTACCCAGACATTAAACACAAAGAAGCTCAAAGAGCCAAGGCAAGCCAGCCCAAGAGTAGAAGGCTCCCTCCCACGGGGGCCAAAGTCTGGATGCTGGGGTCTCCACTCAGAGCCTGGTAGTAAAAGCTGGTGCAGAATAAGGTGGTTCCGGAGGCTAGCAGTAACCCGGCCTGAAAGAGATAACAAGGAAGCAAACAAGACAGTGAGGAAATGGCAGGCTGAGAAGGAGTGGGCAGGGGTTGGTCAGGGTTAGAAAGGGGGTGAGATTACCCAGAGGGGACTTCTGCAATGTGGCACCCCTAGCAGGGCCAGGCTGTGTAAGAAGTGGTGTTTGTTGGCCTTGTCAAAGAGCTGTAAGAAAAAGAGTAATGGGGAAAACTCCTAAGAAACACAGAACCCTGGATCCCATGAGACAAAAGTTCATATCCCAACTGAAGTCTCAGCTTGCCCACCCCTTAGGCACCCACGCCTCAGGCTTGGAGCCCTTGCTGCTCCAAAGACTCGCGCACCCCTCTTCCCTGCTTCCCTCAGGGACCCCAGACTTTGTGCCCTGATAAACCAGAAGTCGGGAAGCCCCCGCGTGGTTACTTCACCTCCTTCCCGTAGGCATCCGGAAACTGGGCGCCTGTATAAAGGAGAGGCAAAGGTTACCAGTCCTAACGCCCCAACTCCCAGGAGGACCCTGGTGGACACTGGAAAGGGCACCCCGGGGAGTCTTTTCATTGGTGGGAACACATCCTGGGAACCAACTGGACCGGGCTGGGGCACTTGAACATGTTTAGGGCTCGTAGGCTGTCTGGTCTAAGAAAGCCCCAGCACTTCCCACAGATTCCGCCCCTCACCAGACCCCATAGGTCGCCCCAAGCACAATCCCAGCTCCATCCCCAGCACCCTGACCGTGCGCCCCGTAGGAGGCCAAGCCTAAGGCCCCGGCTCCAGACAAGGCACCCAAGCGGCGGAAAGCTGCCCCTGGCCCGGCCATGGCAGTAGACGGTCACGCGCCCGGCGAACACCGCCCTGGACACCCAAGAGGCCAACCAATCTCTAGCTCCCATGCAAATAACGTGCAGAGGTGTCCAATCAGGGCAGTGTTCATTTCAGCGTCCAGGTCCTCACCCGGGTGCTTGCGCCTTTGTAAAACCTCTGTTGAGTGGCGAAGACATCTGGCGGGCGGAGAAATCAGAACCAATTAGGAGCAGAGGAGAGGAGCAGTGGGGGGCGGGGTGGGGGCAGTACTACAGGATTTGCGTCACGGATTGGCCCACTTTCCAAGTTGTTCTCCTCCTCTAACACCCCCTCTCACCTCCTGCCAATTTCCAAAAATCCAGGTCCCCACGCAAAGTTCTGCCCCCTTTCCCACAGGCACCTCTTTCAGCTTTAAAACAGACACGCACCCAAAAAGAGGCGACCCCGCGGTTACCCAAGCCCCACCCATCTCCATTAAACCCCGCCCACTGCACCTATGGCTCCTCCTCCACACTGAAGGCCCCGCCTTCTTCATATGATGCCCCGCCCCCTATAGTTCACCCCACCACCGCCACCACTACCACCAACCGCGAGAGCCCCGAGGGTGGGATATCTGGGGGGATGTCTCTCTCCTGCCCGGGACCGCTTCGTTCATACGTCGGTCTGTCCACTCCCGCCCTCTTCCACCGTCTTCAATCCCCCCACACTCCGGAGGGCGGGCGGGCAGGCGGGTGCGAGCGAGGGGTGTGCGCCGCTCTCTCTGCAGGGGGCGGGGGAGGCGGCCGCGCGGTGACGCGCGGGGCTGCTGCGGCTGCTCCGCCGACGGATCATCACTCTCGGGCTGGGATGGACGCGGGGCGGGCGGGCCCTGGCGCGCGGAGCCAGGAGTCCGGGCCTCCCGGCTGCTGAGCGTCCCCCGAAGCCTTCCCATTACCCCCCGCTTTCCCTCCTAGGAGCAGTGCCGACCCCTGCCCCGGGGCTCCAGACTCTACTCCCGCCTTCCTCTGACTCCCCGGACCTCCCACTCCCGCCCGCCCTCGGGATCGACTAGATCCCTCCCTCTCCCCGAGGATTCCGGCTGGATCCCTGCCCCTGCACCGCGGATCCTGCGCTCCCGGGCTCCGGGCCCCTGGGGATTGCCGTGGACTCCTCCCCCCGCACCCGATTCCTTAGGATCCTCCGCCTGTACAGCCTTCTGGTCCCCCGAAGCCGGCCCACGGAGCCAGTGGATCCTCAATCCAGTCTTGTCCCGTTGCCCCCTCCTCACTCCGCTGTCCCCACTGCGGGCTCCCCGTTCTCGGGTTCCTCCTGACCCCATCCCCTACCTCTCCCTGGGGATCGACTGGATCCCGGCCCCGCCCCCTGGGGCTGGGGCGATCCCCCTCCCCCGCTGGGTGAGGCGCTGCGGGCGGGGGCTGGGCCTGCGGGACCGCGGGGGCTCAGAGGCCGCCGCCCCCTACTCGGAGCCCTGGATGGAGGCACCACGGCCCCAGGGCTGAGCCAGGTAGGAGCTAAGCCGGGCCGGGTGGAGGGGATTGCGTGGCGGTCCACTGGGGTCTCCCACTCCCCATCTCTCTCCCTGCGCCTGGTTTCCCTCAGCCTGCTCTGTCTGCTCGTCTCCGCCTAGGGATGCTCTCGCCGTGTCTCTCCGTCTCGGTCTCTTTGTCTCTGCCTCTCTCCAGCCCATGAATGATCCTTTGAATGGGCCCACAGACCCCATGTGTTCCCATCTCCCCCTCCCCCTCCTTCTCCCCTTCCCGGCCAAGCCATTTTTCCCCACTGCAGGAAGGGGGGGGCTGCGGCCTGAGCCCCCGTCCCTCAACTCTCCCCGGCTGTGGGAGTCAGGCCTGGCCAGGAATGGAAAGAGCAAGACAGAGGAATAGAGAGGAGGGGGAGCAAGATGTGGCAGACAGAAAGGAGAAAGAAGGGGAGAGAAAATGGGGGAGACAGATAGGGAAAGAGGAGAAGGAGAGACAGAAGCAGAAAAGGCTTGAGGGAGAAATTTGGGGAAGGGGTGTGAAGGAGAGAGAAAAATGAAAAACACTAAGAAGGGAGATATGGAAGAGAGTGATGAAAAAAGACTGAGGGACAGAGACTAAAGGCAAGAGCTGGAGCAGTCTGGAAGAGGCTGGGAAAGATGCGCTGAGGGAGCGTTATGGAGAGGAAGGGGGGGGGGCTCCAGAGGGAGGGAAGAAGGGAGAGAAGCTGGCAGGGAGAAGGCCACAGGCCCAAAGTACCTTAAGGGAGGAAGGGTGACAGAGGCAGATAAACCGAGTTAGTAGGAGGGGGAGGGGGTGGCAAGGCCGTGGAAGCAGAGCCCACCCTGGCATGGGCAGAGGAAACCCTGAGGGAGCCAGCCCCAAGCCCCCTCTAGGTGATGGGGGAACAGGAGCTTTAGAGGACCTGAAGAGGGGGAGGGCACGACTGGGTGTGTGTGGTAAGGATTCCGGTGTCCTCATCTCTGGAATAAATTGACACCTGCAGAGAGCCACCCGCGGGCTGGCGCCTGCCTGGCTCTGAAAACCCCGCGTCAGCAAACAGCTTTGGCAGCTGGGGGGGGGGGGGGGGGGGTTGGGGGGGTTGCTGAAATGACCTGGGTGTCTGCCCCTTCAGTCTGATCCCTTCCCTTGTCCCGCTCCTGCTGCCCTGAGCACCCAGGTATCAGAGCAGCATCTGTGGGGGACTGGCAAGGGGAAGGGGAGGTGAATAGCTGAGATAGGATGAGAAGAAAGCCTAGGCTTGCCCCCAGGACATGGGTCAAAATACGATGTATGGGAGAAGAGGTGCCTGGAGTACAAGGCTGTTCAAGACTATGGGAGGGGGGCAGTCAGTAGGTGCATCTGACTCCTTCTAAACCCACCTCAGCACCCCTTCTCCCCAGCCAGAGGCCTGGTCACTAGTACTAGGCTCTGATTGGCCAACAAGGGCCAAGAGGCGGGTCTTTTAGGGTTCTTTAATGCCTCCATTCTCCCGCTCCCCTCAACATATATACTTCTTCTATGCTAAGATTGGGGGAAACTCTAGCATTCTGACTCATGCCTCTGCCCTCATGCCTAGAAGGACCCCGTAACCGGGCCAGTCCCTTCCCCTCTTCCTCCAGACCCGCCCCCCCACTCAGGGTTAAAGCTGCAGCCCGTTGCCGAGGTAACATTGCGGGGCAGCATCCTGTCGCTCAGCAACCGGCTGCAGGATCACGCATCTGTCCCTGGATTTGCCCCCCTCCAGCATCCCCTCCCTCCTGTAGCCCCTGCCTCAAGGCACCTTAACTTCTGAGGGAAGAAATGGAAAGGGCCTGGGGAAAAGGAGTCCCCCACTGCTGCACAGATCCTTAGGGAATGGGATGTTGAAGGGAGGAGAAGGTGCTGGGCTCATGCAGTCCCAAGGGAGGCCTGGAGTCTGGCCTGGGGTGGGGTTAAGTGCCATGAAATTACAGCTCAGGAGTAATTAACACATATAAACAAACCCGCTGCTTCCTACTAATTAATGACTTGGTATTTTTATTTTCTCTTCCTGGTCTATCTCATCCCTCCCAGGGAGGTGGGAACTGGGACTCCTGAGTCCCTGCGGAGAGCCCTCCTGGTAGGGATAAAGCAGCGGGAAGGGGGCAGGCTGGGGCTGGGAGCGGACCGTGCTTCCCCTCTGGTTGTGTCCTGGACTGTTATCACATCTTGACCCTACCCCCAGCCTCAGACTTTGCTATCTGGGTCCCTGAAGATGGAGGGAGTTTTGGGGTTGAGGGGAAGTGCTGAGGGGGCCTGAGGGTGGAAGAAGGGGGGCAACTGGTCTGAATTCCAAGTCACTAACCACTTGTCTCTTCTGTTTCCCCATTCCTTTCTGTCTGCCCTTCTTCCCTGCCCTTCTTCCAACTCTCCTATGTATTTTTCTGTCTGTCTGTCTGTATCTCGCATACCCTCTCTCTCCGACCCACAGGTCCAGCCTGCATTCACCTTTTCCCACTCCCTTCCCCTTCCCCACCCCTTGCCCCCTCCATGGAGAGGAACAGACCCCTTCTCTGTCCAGTCTAACCCAGGTCCCTTCCCACTCCCCTCCTCCCTCCTTTCCCACCCCCTCCTCCCTCCTGGGGCGAGGGGGGGCCTCCCTCCCTCTCCCCCCCCTTCTCTCTCTCTCCGAGGGGGGGGGTCCCGGGGAGGGAGGGGGGGTCCCCCTATCAGCATGTGGCTCCTGGCGCTGTGTCTGGTGGGGCTGGTGGGGGCTCAACGGGGGGGAGTGGGTCCCGGAGGCAGTGCCCCTGGTGGCCCTGGCCTGGGCCTCAGCAGCCTCGGGGAGGAGCGCTTCCCAGTGGTGAACACGGCCTACGGGCGAGTGCGTGGTGTGCGGCGTGAGCTCAACAACGAGATCCTGGGCCCCGTCGTGCAGTTCTTGGGCGTGCCCTACGCCACACCGCCCCTGGGTGCCCGCCGCTTCCAGCCTCCCGAGGCTCCGGCCTCGTGGCCCGGCGTGCGCAACGCCACCACCCTGCCACCCGCCTGCCCGCAGAACCTGCACGGGGCGCTGCCAGCCATCATGCTGCCTGTGTGGTTCACCGACAACTTGGAGGCAGCCGCCACCTATGTGCAGAACCAGAGCGAGGACTGCCTGTACCTCAACCTCTACGTGCCCACTGAGGACGGTAAGGGCGCGGGCACCCCGCCGGGCACTCCATGAACACAGCCCACAAACACGCATGCAGAACCTCAGGCACTGACACAGTCCGGGATGGGAGCTGGACTTTGTGGGGACAGTGAGCAGACAGTATGTCCCTGCCAGCTCTGCGTGCCCTCCGAGTGTGGTATGGGTGCCTGCCAAGCACTCCCAGGGATGGACCCCATAGACAGCCACCCCCCAAGTTCTTTGTGCCCACAGAGAGAGCCAATGGTAAGGTGAGCAGGCACTAGGCTGGACTTACCAGCTGGTCCCCACAGCGGAGGTGTCCACCACCTGCCTAGGCACCCATTCCAGCTAGGCACCCACCTCCCACCCCCAGGCCCGGGCTTGCCCCTGGCTCATCCAATTTAGCAACATCTCTACCTCAAAGACAGCAGACTCCTCCTTTCCCCCAAGGCCAGCACTGCAGGCTTCCATCTATCACATCACCTCCAGAGCCCCTTGCCTAAGCCGAGAGTCTCTTCTCCAGGCACTCTGGTCCTTCTGTCCTCTGGTCCCTACACACTCCCGAAGGATCAGGGAAGCGCCCTGCCAAGGGCCTCTCCACTCATGGCACCCCCATCGGAACAGCTTCCCTGGAGCTCTTGAACTGACTGTCTTGTCACTGAACTCTCAGTTCACTGCAGCTCTGCTCCTAGCCCCCAGCACACGCCCTGGACGGGTCTCCTCCTGCCAGCCTTCGGCACACGTTAAGATTAGTCAGAGCATCTTTCAGAGTGCCTTCCAGCTGCCCACAGCAGAGGCAGTCAGCACAACCCCAGCCGCCTCAACAGGCTGTCCTTCAGACGCCCCATATCACCACTCCAGAATACCCCAACGCCTCTACGAGGCCGTCCACTCCTACCACGCCCCTGCAGGTCAGCCTCCAACAACTTTACAAACAGGCCTGGCACCAGGAACCCCTCTACGTACACCCTACACACCCAACAATCCCGCATCAAGTACTCAAGTCCCTCAACAGACCAGGAGCTCAACTACTCAACACTCAGATTGTGTACCCAACCAATCTACACACCGACCATGTATGTGGTCCAACACCCCACATACTGCAGTTCCCAGCACCTTCGCACAGCACATACCCCAACACTTTCCTAAAAGTGTGTACCCCATCACCCACACCTGTGGCTCCCAGTATTCCTGCATACAGAGCATGTGCCTAGCAACACCTTATCCCAATAACCCTGCCCCTGGACCATGTGTTCCACCAGGCCGCTCACACCGCAGTCAGTCCCTGTACCCAAAGTCCTCTCATGCCGATCACAGAACACCCACAGCACCTCAACCCACCCATATTGTTCTCAACACCTGTACGGACAATCCACCCCATTTTGCTCATACCAGCCACATCCCCTGACACCCTAACTACCCTTCCCCATACAAACCGTGCCTCATAGTGGCCTGTACACACAACGCTCAGAAGTAGCATTCGCTCTAATCCCATCCAGATTCCAAGCACCCTGACAGAACATTTACCGAACACCCCCTGCATGAGAACCACCCCGTTCACACCCCCCTGCCCTCTCATGGACCACTTACTGCATCCAGCATCTCCCTCCTGTGAATTCTTCACCCCAGCGCCTTCACAGAGACTGTCTGTCTCACACCCTCCATCTGTGGACTCTCCCCTCCCACATCTTCACGGAGGCTGTCCAACCCAGTGTCCTCCTCAGCGAAACATCCAGCCAGCACTTCCCACCAAAGCACTGTCTATCCCAACATCTCCCCACTAATTGTCCACCCTGCCTCACACTTTCTGTATTTTTTTAACCACCGCTTACTGCCATCCTGCTGAGGGGCCTGACACATTCAGGTGATCTCACTGAATCTTCACACCAGCTCTGGAAGGAAGAGGTTGACTCAGGTGCGCGCGCGCACTCACATACACACACTCTTAATACTCACGTACCTGCGTGCCTTACTGACTTCATCCCCATTCCCGCCCTGTCACAGAGAAGAACAGGCCCTGACCCCAATGAATCACCACAGAGCCATTATTGCCAATTGGGAGAAGCCTTCCGCAGGCTGGCCTGGCCCTTGCTGACCCACCCTTCCCCCTGGTGTTGAGGAGAAACCAGGCAGCTGGGAGAACCCTGCAGGCCCCTGGGTTCCAGCTCTTCCCTGAAAGAAACCTGGAGCCAAACTCTGGGCCTTGTCTAGGACCCTTCCCTAACAGTGGGCACACTTTGTGCCTCCCAGCACTTCCTGGCACCTCATGTATCAGGCTGGCTCAGGGCACTGTGTTTCTTATTGCCTATTTGTGGACTGAACCCCCAATTGGGGAGGGGGGATTTTTGGCATTAGAGCAGGGGTTGGTGAAGGGCTGGTGCCCCTGGTGGGAATTTTACCATTTGGGGGGAGGAGAGCAGGCCTGGGTAGGGGATCAAGTTTGGAGGGTGCGGGTGGGGGCAGACAGAGGGAAGAGGTGGAGTGGAGGGCAAGACCTGATGACCCCTTTCCCTGCTTCACCCCACACTGGGGAGATGGGGTGAGAAGCCAGGCCTGTGAGTGCGGATGGAAGAGAAATGCTGGTGGCTGAGAGGCCGGGTGGGCGGGCAGGCAGCTCTGGCTGCCCTACCCACAGCCCTCCAGATTGGTCCAGAGGGAAGCAGAGTCCTTTCTGCTGCAGCGCGCCCCCCCGCCCCGCCCCAGCCTTGGGGAGCAGGCAGGTGCTTGGCTGGCCCTGGAGAGGGCCTGCTTTGAGTGGAGGCCCAGGTGGCAAAGCTGGCCTTGGTCTCCTGGGCAGGTTTCCCCTCCCTTCCCGCCCCACCTCTAACACCGTTTCATTTCCAGCTGTTAGCCAACACAGCTATAAGCCAAATCCTTTCCAGCCCAGTCCATAAGTCTTAAGACAGGCCTCAGCCCACTTAGGCACCCCACCCCCTCAAAACCAGCCTTTTCTTTGGGGCATTACTTTTTCCGGGGAGGGGAACAAAATTGGGTTGTAAAAACGTTTTTCTCTTTTCTTGGTTTCTTTTTCTTGCAAACAAATTTTGCTTTTTTTGGCTTATTTTTTCTGCCCCCCACCCTCCCCTTTTCTACTTTCTCTCCTCCCTTCCCCATCCACCACCTCCCCCGACTCCCATCTTTCCCCACAAAATTGTCCTTTTTTCTCTGTTTTGTGTTCCCGGTCTTAGGTCCGCTCACAAAAAAACGTGACGAGGCGACGCTCAATCCGCCAGACACAGGTAGATTTAAAAATCCCGCTGCTGCATGTGGTTGCTGATAAGAGGACGTTCACTTTCACGGCCCCGCCCCTAACTAAATACCCCGCAGCCCCCAAGGCCCGCAGTCCTTCTCCCAACTAAAAATGAAAAAGAAAAGAAAAGAAAAATTTGTAATATTGGAAAAAAGAATTATGAAAAACTTCAAATGAAATTTGAACAAAATTGGACCTACTAGAAAACCTTCAAGAAAAGCTAAACATGGAGAAATTAAAGTGAAAAAAAAATTGGAATGTCAGAAAAAAATAAAATACCAAAAAATTGGATAAAATGTTAAGAGTTTGACAAAAATTTGGACTGTTTTGAAACTTGTGAAATGTAGCATTTGAAAAAACTATTTTAATTTGAAGCAAAACAGCATTTGAAAAAAAAATTAAGTTGGCAAATTGATGACAGTGAAACATCAGAAGCCTGCTACAATTTCCAAAAGCCTGTTAGACGCCGAAAATGCAAACTTTTAAAGCAAATTAAAGAATTTGGAAATTTTTGAAAACAGGGCCCAATATCTTGAAGTTTCACCACAAAATTTTGAAAAAAAAAATGCAAAGAACTTTTTTCTTTTTTTCTTTTTTTCCAAACAAACAGATCTTTTTTTTTTTTTTTTTTTTTTTTTTCTTTTCTTGTTGAATCTGCCCCGAGAGCTTCTTGCTTTTTGGTTATTGTTTTTTTCTTTCTTCTTTCTTGATCCTGTTTTTTGTTGGTTTTGAATTCTTGTTGCCCCAGCCCCCCTTCCTGCTCCTTCCCTTTCTGACCCCCCCTCCTCCCATACCGGGAGCGGAGGTGCTGGGTGGGAGGACGGGGGAGAACTGAGGACATTTAGGGCAGGACCTTAGAGGGAAGGAGACTCAGCCTGAACTTCTTGGAAGGCCACTGGAGGTTCAGGAACAAAGGGAGAGATAGAATTTGGGGAGGACATAAAGGGGGCCCTGCCCGTCTAGGAGCCCCTGGCCAAAGTCAGGCAAAGAGAGGTTGCCGAGAAGGTCGCGAGAGAAAGGAGGCAGGAAGCTGTCTGTAGGGAATGGAGGGGCATGTCTTAGTGACCTGTTGGTTGACCTCTGGCTAGAAGAAAGTTTCTAGCACGATGCAGGACGCTGGCAGAGCCACTGGGGACCAGCTGCGGAGGCCCGGGCCTGGCTCTTGTTTTGAGGGCCAGGCTAGTCAGAGATTGCAGGCGTCATGCAGGCCTGTGGGCTGGGGCCACCCCAGCCCTGGTGCTGTGGTAAACGACGCAGAGGCTGCAGGGGAGGGTACATATATAGCCTTGGGGACTGCGGCGAGCCCTCCCAGACTCCGACCTTCTTTTGGAATTAGTCACTGTTCAGTCCAGTCTGGAGCGCCTCAAAAGTCTACTACATGTCGCAGTGCTTATGGGATCCTCTTGAGACATGAGAAAAGAAGGGTCTGGTGCAGAACCCCGGGGCTCAGGCCAGTTTGCAGGGGGTTCCAAGACTAGGGAGCTGCACCCTGGCTTCATTAAGCAAGCTCTTTCCCACCCTGCCTCCTTCTGCCATAGTAATTAGGCTGGGGGTTGCCATGGTGACTGGGGAGGTGACCTAGAAAGGAATTAGGGCGGGGAGGAGACCAAGCCCCCAGGGACCCTAGGGCCTGGCACCCCCTCATGGACAGACCAGTCTACCACGTGGAGCTGAGGCCCAAGGCCTAAGTCTGAGAAAGGCCCAGGACCCTCCCAGCACCTTTAGCTCCAGTGCCATCCTTAGGAGCTCACTCTCTCTAGGAGCAGGAAGGAGAGTTGCTGTGTGTGTGTGGGGAGGAGGTCCCCTGGACCCAGCAGGTGCCCTGAGGAGGGCCACCCCCGACCCCTGCCTCTGTTAGGCTTCTTGGAAGATCTGCCTGGCATTTGGAGAAGTGTCATGGAGCAGACTGGCAGGATGTGGGGAGGGACCTTCTGCCAGAGCTAGCTGGGGAGGGAGGGAGGGGAATCCGGTCTTGCCCCCCAGGGACGGGAATGACACGTCCCCTGAGCTCTGGGCTGATCTTCAGCAGGCCTGGGAGCTGGGAGGTGCTGCTTCTGGTCTCACTGTGTCCTTGTCCCCACTCCCGGCCCACCTGCCCACCCCTCCCCACGCAGATATCCGGGACTCTGGGAAGAAGCCCGTGATGCTGTTTCTGCACAGCGGCTCCTACATGGAGGGCACCGGGAACATGTTCGATGGCTCTGTCCTGGCCGCCTATGGCAACGTCATTGTAGCCACGCTCAACTACCGGCTTGGGGTGCTCGGTGAGGGAGGGCAGCCAATTCTAGGGAGCCTGGGAGGGGGGGTCTGGGGGTTGGGGTCCTTTAAACCCAGCAGCAGCAAAATGGCTTCTGGGCCAGACTGAGCTGCCCAGAGCTGCCCGGCTAAGGGGCAAGGACACTGTAACACCCCCCAGGTAGCTCCCTTTCTTCCTTTACCTCCAGGTTTCCTCAGCACCGGGGACCAGGCTGCAAAAGGCAACTATGGACTCCTGGACCAGATCCAGGCCCTGCGCTGGCTCAGTGAAAACATTGCCCACTTTGGAGGCGACCCTGAGCGCATCACCATCTTTGGGTCTGGGGCAGGCGCATCCTGTGTCAACCTTCTGATCCTTTCTCACCATTCGGAAGGTACCAGCAACCTCATTAGCCCGCCAGTCCTGTTCCCTTCCTTATACCCCTGATCCTACCAAGCCCCCCTTCTCTGTTGGGCTGATACTGCCCAGCCTAAACCCTGCCTGTCCCACCAGGGCTATTCCAGAAGGCCATTGCACAGAGTGGCACTGCCATTTCCAGCTGGTCTGTCAACTATCAGCCGCTCAAATACACACGACTACTGGCAGCAAAGGTTGGCTGTGACCGAGAGGACAGCGCTGAAGCTGTGGAGTGTCTGCGTCGGAAGCCCTCCCGGGAGCTGGTGGACCAGGACGTGCAGCCCGCCCGGTATGGCTATTGGAGTGGGGGTGGGGGTGGGAGAGGGCCGGATCCAGGCTTTCGCCCACCTTGCTGATTCCAAGGAGGTTGAGGGTGAGGAGTGTGCAGGTTTGGCGAGGAGAGGTGGGCTTCAGGCCCCTCTGCTAGCCCTGCCTTCTTCTCTTGGAAGCCTTCCCTAAGTGGAGGTGCCCAAACAGGGCAAGTATGCGCAAGGCGCCAGAAAGTGCTTCAGAGAAGACTTCCCAATGGGCCAAGTGCCCTTAAGGATTCATAGGAGAGGTTTTTTGATCCTCACCCCATGACATGCTTATTGATTTCACAGGGGAAGGGAGGGAGAGAAGAGGGAGAGAAACATCGACCGGTTGGTTGCCTCTCGAACATCGCCCGACCAAGGGCTGAACCTGCAATGCAGGCATGTGCCCTCACTGGGAATCAAACCCGAGACCTTTCGGTTTACGGGATGACACTCCAGCCAACTGAGCCACACCAACCGGGGTGGATTCATAGGAGATTTTAACTAGGGAGAAGTATCTTCCAGGCAGAGGGCTCAGCAAGCTTTGAGTTGAGAGGAGGCCAGTGAGCAGGTAATGAGAGTCTGACCCCTTCTCCCCAGCTACCACATTGCCTTTGGGCCCGTGGTGGACGGTGACGTCGTCCCCGATGACCCTGAGATCCTCATGCAGCAAGGAGAATTCCTAAATTACGACATGCTCATCGGTGTCAACCAAGGAGAAGGCCTCAAGTTCGTGGAGGACTCAGCAGAGAGTGAGGATGGCGTGTCCGCCAGCGCCTTTGACTTCACGGTCTCCAACTTCGTGGACAACCTGTATGGCTACCCGGAGGGCAAGGATGTGCTGCGGGAGACCATCAAGTTTATGTACACAGACTGGGCCGACCGGGACAACGGTGAGATGCGGCGCAAGACCCTGCTGGCGCTCTTTACTGACCACCAGTGGGTGGCACCAGCCGTGGCCACCGCCAAGCTGCATGCTGACTACCAGTCCCCTGTCTACTTTTACACCTTCTACCACCACTGCCAGGCTGAGGGCCGGCCCGAGTGGGCAGATGCAGCGCATGGGGACGAGCTTCCCTACGTCTTTGGTGTGCCCATGGTGGGTGCCACAGACCTCTTCCCCTGCAATTTCTCTAAGAATGATGTCATGCTCAGCGCCGTGGTCATGACCTACTGGACCAACTTCGCCAAGACTGGGTGAGGGCCAGAGGGCCTGGGTGGGGCACCATGCAGGCCGAGGCACACACACCCTCCACTCTCCGCTCCTTCTCTTTCTCACTTCTCCACAAGGCCACCATCCCTACATTACGGCACCTTGCCTTCTCGACTCAGACACCTGCTGGGTGCCTTCTCTGTGCCAGGCACTGAGTTGCGTGTTGGAGATTCATCAGAGTTAAACAGAGAGGTCCCTGTCCTTTCCGGGGGTGGGTTCACTTGGTGGCTTTGGCTTCATGTCTATCTCTTCTTCGCTCCCTAGCCTAGTCACCCTCTCTCTTTCTTCTGCCAATGCTCTGCCCTCTGACTGCCCCCGTCTGTGTCCGAGTATATGTGAGGGTTTGGGTCTGTCTGTCTCTATGGCTGTCTCTACGTCTCACACTCTTGAAAGCCATTGATCTCTCTCCCTTTCCCTTTGATCTGTTTACATTTTGCTTGCTGATTTCCCGTGACTATCGTTCATGTGTCTTTATCTTTCCATCTCTGTAGGTCTCTGTCTCGCTCCGTCTCAGCCTCTGCCTCTTTTGTTGGCTGTCTCTGTCTCTGCCTATCTCTGTCCCTCTGTCCTCATCTCTGGCTGTCTCTGGCAGTCTGTCTCCATCCCTCTTTGTTTTTCCGTCCCCGTTTCTCGTCATTTCTTTCTCTCTTCGTATCCATCTGTCCCTTCCTATCCCTCTCGGCCTCTCTGCCTCTAGCTTTCCCCCTGACTTTCCTTCTGTTTCCCGGGCTCTCTGCATCTCTGCCTCTCCCCGCATCCCTCCTCCGCCCTCCCACACCTGTTGGAGCCTCTCCCTCACTCCTCCTTTCCCTGCCCTCCTGTGCCCACAGCGACCCCAACCAGCCAGTGCCGCAGGATACCAAGTTCATCCACACCAAGCCCAACCGCTTCGAGGAGGTGGTGTGGAGCAAGTTCAACAGCAAGGAGAAGCAGTACCTGCACATTGGCTTGAAGCCGCGCGTGCGTGACAACTACCGTGCCAACAAGGTGGCCTTCTGGCTGGAGCTTGTGCCCCACCTGCACAACCTGCACACGGAGATCTTCACCACCACCACGCGCCTGCCTCCCTACGCCACACGCTGGCCACCTCGCCCGCCCCCCGGTGCCCCGGGCACACGCAGACCCCCACCACCTGCCACTCTGCCACCCGAGCCTGAGCCCGAGCCAGGCCCCAGGGCCTATGACCGCTTCCCCGGGGATTCCCGGGACTACTCCACGGAGCTGAGCGTCACTGTGGCTGTGGGCGCCTCCCTCCTCTTCCTCAACATCCTCGCCTTTGCCGCCCTCTACTACAAGCGGGACCGGCGGCAAGAGCTGCGGTGCCGGCGGCTCAGTCCCCCGGGAGGATCAGGCTCTGGTGTGCCTGGTGGGGGCCCCCTGCTCCCTACTACCGGCCGAGAGCTGCCACCAGAAGAGGAGCTGGTGTCACTGCAGCTGAAACGGGGTGGCGGCGTCGGGGCGGACCCTGCTGAGGCCCTGCGCCCCGCCTGCCCACCCGACTACACCCTGGCCCTGCGCCGGGCACCAGACGATGTGCCTCTCTTGGCCCCTGGGGCCCTGACCCTGCTGCCCAGTGGCCTGGGACCACCACCTCCCCCGCCGCCACCATCCCTCCATCCCTTTGGGCCCTTCCCCCCACCTCCCCCCACCGCTACCAGCCACAACAACACTCTACCCCACCCCCACTCCACTACCCGCGTATAGGGGATGGCTTGGGGGGGCCCTCCTCCCCAGCCCTCCCACCGGCAGGAAGTGCCACTCGGAAGGCAGGGAGGAGGACTTGGCAACAGGCTTTTCTCGCCACATGTCGAGGAACATTAGGTGGACATGGGTCTCCTCACTGGGATGTGTGTTTTCCCATGCGTAGAGGCCCGTTTTCTTCTCTGGACCTGGGCCTTTGAACAACTGGGGGGTGTTTTGTCCCCTCCATTGGGACACCAGTCTTCGGTGTGCGGAAGTATGGAAGGATTTTCCCACGTGGAGGTGTGCTTTCTACGAGGGGGTGTTTTCCCATGTGCAGGGTGAGGTTTTTTTTTGCCGCCCTGGACACATGTTGGCCCTCTCAAAGAATTTCCGCGGGGATTTGTACCCCAGAATCATATTCCCTCATGCCTTCTCCCACCTCCTCTCCCCTGCCCACCCCATGGAGACCCTGGAAGTGGTGTGTTCATGTGCAGTGACCCTCGGCCACCAGATGACACAGGGTGGTTCTTGGGAAGTAGTGAGGAACCACAGCGCCCCCTCCCTGGCCCACCCCCCCACCCCACCCCTGCCCTGGAGAAGCATGTCTTTCCCCCTTGGCACAAGTCAGGTGGAGCGCAGTCTCCCGGATAGGCCTCGCTTTCCACGGACGACAGACGCAGAATCCCTGCCAGGGGGACCGGGGAGATCCTGCATCCCTGTACTGCCTGGGAACTCCTTTTCCCAGAAGTCCAGGGCACACTTCTCTGAGTGCAAACATGTTCTTGCATGTGGATGTATGTTTTCCCATGCAGATGGTCCCTTTTCTCTCCAGTACTTCCCTGCATCCCCCAGGCCTCGGGCGCAGCACCTAATTCCTCCTCACACAGCAGGTAGGAAGAGACTCCAAGCTGAGAGCAGCTGAGGGGGACGTATAAACCCTGAGGGCGGAGCTCTGTCCCCCCCTCCCCCAGAGATGCTGAGTTCGGGGTCAGGGGTGTGGGACCTGCCACCCACAGAGGCCGTGCATGTTTGACCAAAGTCCTCACTGGGGTCTGAGGACAGCCTTTCCCTCAGTCCTCAGACCATTACTCATCTGTGCCAAACTGGGTCGGTGGGTTTGCCAAGCATTCCCCAGTCCTGGGCCAGAGCAGGTAAGCGTGGGAGCAGGTGAGATACAGGAGATGGGGAGGTGGCAGCTATAGGGGTCCTACCTGTGTCTCTCTTTTATCCTCACCATGTCTCACCCCTTCCTCTGTGCCTCAGGTTCCCCCCCCTGTTTGAAGCCATCTCCGTGTCTCAGTGTCAGACCAGCTTCTCCCTTCAGCTGCCCCTTCCTTTTCTGTGACCTGCCCCTTCTTCCCTCAGTCGCCAAGGCTGAAGAAAAGGAGGGGTGGAGGGTGGAGGGGAGGAGAGCAAGGGAGAAAGGCTGCGTGGCTGGGGAGAGAATGAGGTCAGCAGTGCTGAGGAACAGACGGAGGGGCAATGGGCGGCAGGACATGGGCAGACACCAGCAGGAAGAATTTGAAAGGACATGTGTAAGGTGGCTGCCCAGAGGGGACCTGAGCCTATAGGGAGCAGAACCTCATCAGGGACACCCGTTGAGAGAATCCTTGTCTGTCGGCATTTAATGGGATGTTAGTGCCAAACTTGAGTAGGGGGTGGGGTGCCGTCTTCCACTGACACCCAGATCCAGAATCCCTGGTCTTGGCTTCCCGGAACTTTGCCTCTTGACCATCCCTTCTCCCACCTCCACCCATGGAAACCATTGTTTTCCCTCCCTTTCTCCTGCCTGGTCTAGTTCCTTTCCAAACAGCCATGCCCTCTAAATGCTAGGGACCTGGGCCCTGAATCCTATAGACAGATGTCCCACAAACTGGGACATGGGAGAGGGGCTGGGGGACCCCATGATTCAGCCACGGACTCCAATGCCCAGTCCCTCTCCCCAGAACAGTTCCCTGACAATCCCATGTCCCCACCCTTTGCGGCTCTGTACACATTTTTAAACCTGGCAAAAGATGAAGAGAATATTGTAAATATAAAGTTTAACTGTTGGTTGTGACTGCTGTGATGTTAGGAGGTGGGAGCAGGGGGCTCCGAAGAAACAAGCCTTGGGGATGTGACTGCCAATGAGGGAGGTCTGCACCCACACCCTTTTCAGTGACTGGCTCTGAGGTCTGAGAGAAAGGGGGAGTGGGTGCTGAGTAAGGTTGCCATGGTAATGGGGCTATTTGGGGAGTTAAGAATTGGACCCATGTCTGCGCAGAGGGCTGAGCCAAGTGTAGAAAAGGCCCAAATGGGCTGATGGGGGCAGACACCGGGCAGGCCAGACGGCCTCGCCGGTGGCCCAGGTAGCTGGCTACGGGACAGGCCTGCAAGGTGAAGGGCCTGGCTTTTGCCAAGGTCTGGGACTCAGGCTGGAAGTTGATCCTGGGCCGGGGACTCCATCTTGGCACATTGTGAGGGAGAGCCCAGCTTCATTGTGACCCGCTTTCCCCCCTGGAGCCTTTGGGACGGGCAGGCTGGGTACTGTGACACAGTGGGCTGGGGGCCTAGGGGCCCTGGTGGCCCTAGGGACCCCCATGGCCATGGCTGAGGAGCCATGGCCCAGGTGCGCCTCAAATCACAGCCCTAACACCAACAACTTCCAGGACCTGGGCGGCTCCATCCTGCTGCTGCTGGGCCTGATCATCTGCATTAACATTGGCATCAATATGGTGACACTGGTCAGGGCAGGGCCGGGTGGGGGGTGCTGGCAGGATGGCTGGGGCAGGCCTGGTGGCCAGGGCCTGCCTGTGGTCACTGTGTCCTTCCCCCAGCTCTGGCTCAGACTCCGTGGCTTCCTACACTGCATGTTCTGCCGTATTGTTTGTGAGAAAGGTAAGAGTGGCCGGGGGGAGGTTAGGGCAGCGGAAGGGCAGATACCCAGGTGTTCGAGCCTTTGACGCTAGGCCGGCCCCATCCCCTCCCACTCTCCCCTCTCAGATGCCACAGCTGTGTCGCTTCTCTCCCCGAACCCTGCCTCTCCACGCCCGTAGGAGCCGGTACCCCCTCAGCCTCTTCCCTCTCCCCTGCCCACAGAAGCTTCTAAATCATCCTCACATCGAAAGAAGACCCGGCCCCCCAAGCAGAGCTCCCCTGCAGTCCACCTTCGATGCACCATGGACCCTCTGAAAATGACCCTGACACCCCCGCCCACTCGCCGCCATTGCCACCGAAGCTCATCATCACGCTGTGCCCACCACCCAACCACCTGGGCCCCTGACGCTGACAATGAGAAGCCCCTTCATCAGCATCCGGCAATCTGCTCCCACAACTGGGATCGCCCCCCAGACTGGGAAGGCTTCCAGTCCGCCCACGAGGCCTGGGGTCCCTGGGCCCAGGACACCGTGGAGCCGCCTCCCCAGGCCATCCACTTCCAGCAGACCATAAAGGCGAGGCCCCTCAAAAGAGAGATGCGGTCAGATCTGGCTCTAGAGGCCTATGTGTACCCTGTGAACCCCCCAGCTGCCGGCCCTCACGTCCTGAACCGCAAGAACAGTGGAGGCGGGACAGGGGTCGAGGGGGAGCAGGAGCAGTGCTCGCCTGCCCCCCCAGCTCCACCGCCCATCAGGGGTCCAGCCATGGTCCCAGATGTCCCCCGGCGTCCCTCTTCAGTCCGCATAGCATATGACGCCCGTGACGTGAGGCGGCGGCTTCGGGAGCTGACCAGGGAGGTAGAGGCTCTGTCCCACGGCTACCCCATGCCCTGCGGATCCAGCACTGCTGAGGGGATGGGCAAGGACTGGGTATACCGTCCCCTGGCAGAGAGGTGACTGGGAGAATAATAAAAAAGGAGAGAGGAGGTGGTTTGTGGTGGAGTGTCGGGGTAGGGTAGCAGGGCCAGGGGCCACACAGCTCCTGGAAGCCCTCATTGCCAAGGAATGACCTCCCTGGGAACCTTGGCAATGGCCTAGAGAGCCCTGAGGACCCCGATCAACCTCCTGGCCTCCACCTCCCCATCGGCCCTGTCCTCAGACCTTTCCCAGGCCCTTCTTGATTCCAAGGTTCCTGTCAGCCTCTATTCCATTTTCTTTAGTGCGCAGAGAAGGCTCCCTACCAATGCCACCCCAGAAATCCAGAGAGTCCTATGCTAAAAGGGAGACCCTCATCCCATGGCTCCAGGCCCTCAGAGGTCTGGTTCCTGCTGGAGCCCAGGTTTAGGCTGCGGCTGCAGGAGCCCTGGTTTCTCAGGCCCTGGTTTCTTCCGGGAGGGACCACTGAGAGCAAAGAAGGTAGCCAGGCCCTCACAGTTCCCCAGTCAGCACCTCGAGCTCCCATGAGTTCCTAAACACTCAGTCAGGCTTGGAGGATGAAATATTGGGGACGCTCTCAAGGGCTGCCTCATAATAACATCACAGCCTTCTGTGACCTCACTCTTTTGATTCATTCCTCCATGTCACAAGTGAGAAGACTGAAGCCAAGTGACTTATTCAGGTCAAACAGACATCAAGGATCAATTTTACAACCTCAGATACTTCACCCCCCTGCTTCTGCAGGTAGATTCCCATTGCCACTGAGTCAGCCTGGTCCGTCAGAATCTCCCACCTTCCTTAGTTTGCCATGTGAACTCATCAGAATATCCCATCCACGGGAGAACAGGGATACCCAGGCAGCTGGGATCACGCACATACACAAACTCATGCGCACATACAACTTGAGGACGAGTCATATGAGTGCACCTAACCTGAAGGAACTGGACCTCACCTTGATGCCAGACGGGTTCCTGGAATGTGAGCAGACAAGCCTTTTTTGAATCGCCCTGCTTCCCTGTTAATTTTCATTCAGCTAATGTCATTGATCGTTTGAAGCTCATTCCATTCAGTAGGTATGCACTGCGCACCTACCACATGTTTGGAGCCTTGACGGAAAGTGCCCACTGGCTGTTCTTCTGTTGCTGCCGAGTTGTTTATTGCACAAGCAAATGACTTGCGGTCCCCAGGGCACCCCTTTCACAGACCCCAGTGATGACCTTGGTTTAAATCAAAGGCTCCTTTGTCATATCAACAACTACATCTATTTTGTGCTTTGTGAATTTCACTGGTTTTCTTAGGTGGCAGCTAACAGTGCTTCAACTTGACGGGGCTGCTCAGAGGGAGGGCTGTCGGTTAAGGAGAGAGATCCTGGTTGGGGGGCGGTGCCTGGCAGAGGCTGCGACCCCTGACAGGTGGAATCAGTCTTGCTCTGAGGCAAAGGGGCCAATGGACTCAGTGACCACCCACACCTAGAGATGGGTAGGGGGGTACTGGCACTATTATGACAGGGAAGTGGGCAGGACATGAGGACACATTGGGAATGTACAGTGAGGTGACTTCAGAGGGGACTCTTGCTGTCACCATCCATCTAGCGCCAAGTAGGCGTGGGTAGGAAATACCAACGGGCTACATAAGCTGCTATAATGTCTCAAAAGAACAATGAAATAGAGGAAATGGTTTATGCATGACTCAACCCCTGTGAAGGCTGTCTCACTACTGTAGCTACCATACTTTCAAATCAGGAATCAGGTGTCGGGGTAAGCAAGCTCCCTTGGAGACAAAGGGACAGACTGAACTCCGGGGTAGCTGGGGACTGAGCCAAGGCCAGAAATGGCCATATATCGAGCCAGCTGAGTGGATAAAAGAGCTGCCACCTCTGCATTGTGACTGCTGCCAATGTGCCTCATTATGACCTGGCTCCCTCAGCTGGCAGGTGTCCCCAGGTCCTGCCATGAGTGCAGTGTGGGTCGGGGCTGGTGGGGGGGGGGGGCGGTTGCGGCCCAGGTGGCCCTAGGACCCCCCCACCATGAAAACCGAGCTCTGGTATAACACCCTGGGGTGCTGCAGTCAACACCAAGAAAGTCCCCAGGATGCTGAGGACTTCCTACTCCTGCTGCTGGGCCTCATCATTCTTGTGAACATTGGGATCAACGTGGCAACTGTGGTCAGTGGTGGCTGTGGACCATCCCTGTGGGGGTAGAGGGCAGAGAGTGTGAGCCAGCTTTGGCCTGTACCTCCACCTTCAAGAACAAACTTGGATGGGAACAGCGTGGGGGTTGGCGGTGGAGAGCCTGGTCTTCACTCTAACCCCACCCCACCCTCAGATGTGGCATGGGCTCCAGAATGTCTTAGACAAGATGATCATTTGGATTAACCAGAAAAGTGAGTATGGCAGCAAGAGGGGTAGGGGACACACCTGCTCCCCTTCTACCATCACAGCCCTAGAAAGACAGGCCCCAGGGTCCCCACTGACCATTGCCCTGCCCACATGGACTCTTGCCTCCCCCAGATGAAACCTTGCAGGCTGGTGAAAGTTCCCCGAAAGATGCCCCAGCCAAGGTCCAAGATGTCCACATTCACTGCACCCTGGACCCCGTAAAAGTGAAGATGGCCCCGCCCACTTGCTGCTCCTCTTCCTCCTCCCGCCATCTCGGAGACCGCAGGGGCTACCGCCCAAACCAGAACCACCCCTGCCACCGCTCCCCCTGCAACCACCAGCAGAATCCAAAGAACCACAGACAGTTCTCCAACAATTGGTCAGTCTTCCATAGCCCACAACACAGACAGAAGATGTCACAGCTGCGACCAATGCCCTCTTTTGATCAGGAGGACCTGGACTCCTTCCTGGAGGAGGAGGACAAGCTATGCTTTCTACATCCCAAGTACCCCCAGCGGCGCTGGGGAGGGCTCTACCAGCGAATAGGGGCGCGCTCCAACCTGGGGCTGTGGGGCCGCCAGGGTGGGATCCTGGCCAGCTTGCCACCACCCTCTCTCTACCTGTCACCTGAGCTGCGCCGCATGCCCAAGCGCGTGGAGGCCAAGTCGGAGCTGAGGCTGCAGTCCTACAGGCCCCGCTGCTCACAGTCCCGCATCTGGGGCAACGTGGAGGCTGAGCAGTGGACCTTGTCTCCACCACCTCCCCACCGGCTGCCCCCTAATCCCACCTGGGTCCCTGGGGGACACAGCCCTTACCCCTCAAGGGGCCAGCTACTGTGTGACTCCTGGGACCAACGGCGGCGTGGTCTGGAGAGCTCTGAGCTTCCCCCTGCCCTGGTGCCCCGGAGCCCCCGGCCGGAGGCCCGGGAGCACTACTCCGCACAGTCCCACCGGCAGAGCGTCCCTGGCCATGCTTATAGCCAGCCCAATCGCAGTCCCCACCCATCCACGGGACACTTGAGCTGCACCTCCAAGGATCCCCACGAGGTACGCCGCCGGGCCACCGAATGGGCTGAGGCGCTGCCCGCTCGGCACCCCCTGACTACATCCACCTCTCTCACTGTGTTGGGCGAGGTCTCCTATCAACAGGCCCTAGCTCCCAGCTCAGCCCTGTTCCCCTACTCCGCCCAGCCCCTGCCCGAAGTCCAGGCTCCTGAGCCCACCCCACCCCCACACACCTTCATGCCGCTCAGCCGGAGCCCGGGGGGCAATGCCAACTACCAGGTGTATGACAGCCTGGAGCTGAAGCGGCAGGTGCAGGAGAACAGAGCACGGGCCAGCTCACTGCCACCACCTTCCAGCTCAGCCTCAAGGCCCTCTTTGCACAGGAGCCGGGCGGGGAAACTCAACTAACAAGTGGCAAATGTGGGTGGTGGGGCAGGGCGCTAAAAGAGGAATAAAGAACAACAGAGTCTGGGGAACCACGTGATGGTCTGTGGCTGGGAAGCGCCAATCCCTCTGCCAGCCTGGACCCCTGTCCTTGGCTTCCTGAAATGAGAAATCAGTGTGCCCTTGGCGTGAGGTTCCCCTTGGATAAGTGGCCCCAGTCCTGCCTGCAGGCCCCTCCTGGTCCCGCACAAAGCACTAAGTAGCTCTTGCAGCTGCGGACTCCAAACTGCTGGTCTCCAGGCATGTGCCCTGTGTAAGGCTCTCCCTGTCCCCAAAGGAGGCTCGGAGGCTCAGCCCCACACAAGATGCTGAGGTTAGATTCCAGACCTGTGTCCACAGCTGTGCAGATTCAGGCCTGCAGCCTAGCGCAGGACAGGAAGAAGGCCAAGGCTCTGGATTCCAGCCAGGCTTTTCCCGAGGCTCTGAGGCCATGGTCTTCCCAGTTTCGGAAGCGATCAGGGGAATGGGATGTGTGTTTGGATTAATGAGTCAGAAGGCGATGAGGTAAAGGAAAAGGGCACGAGAAGGGAGGTGCGTTGGCTCCTGGGCCCTGTTTGACTGTCCAGGCTCAAGTTATTTGAACCTGTTTACCAGGGAATGCCACCCTGGGCCTTCCTTTTCCTCCCCTTTTCTCATTGTGACCCTCAACCCCTGTCCCATTATGACCTAGTTCTCCCCCTCCCCCACCAGAAGAGTTTGGCTACTAGTGAATATGTGGGGGCCAGGGGACCCAGGTAGTCCTGGGACCCCCGGACATGGGTGAACGAGCCCACCATGGAGCCCCAAAGTGCTCTGGCACCAACCCCAGGAAGTGCCAGGACCTGGGAGACTCAATTCTTCTGATTCTGGGCAGCTTCATCTTGCTCAACGTGGGGATCAATGTGGTGACTCTGGTCAGGATGGGATCTGGGCAGCAGGGTCAGGGGAGCCCTGGGGTCTGAGGTGGGAGGGGGCGAGGTGAGAGGGCTGCTGGGATGTGGCCAGGCTAGAGTTGGACTTCAAGGCTCACCCTACCTCTGGACCCTCCCCTTCCCTGCTTCCTCAGCTCTGGAGGCACCTGAAGAGCTCCTTGCGGATTCTTTTCCATCATTTTTTCCCCAAAGGTGAGTGGCCCTCAGCATGGGCTCAAGGGGATGTGGCCCCATCCTCTTTCTTCTACCTCTCTCCCCATTTTCAGCCCCTCAGGAACCCAGGCCTTGTCTTATCCCACCTTTCCCAGCAGAGAAGCAGCCCAGCTGTACAGGCAGCCATCCCATGTGCAGGTGCTGCTCCATGGATCCCAAGAACCTATGCTCGAAAGTCTCTTCCCACTTCCATCATCGCCCAAGCTTCCTGCTCAGGCACCCTAGCCACCTTGACTCCTGGATACCAGATATGAATGATGAGAAGGCTTCTAGGTGCTGCTGGATACCGCCTCAGTCTGGATGTGCTAGCGCCCCCATGGAGACTCCCTGGGGACTGTGGAAGGAGAGGATGATGGGAACTGGGGAGGCCCCTCAGGTTATAGCCTCAATGGCCCAAGGCACCTTTACCTCAAGGCAAGAGACATCTTCCCAGTTCACCAAGATGAGCAAGCTGGATATGGTTCCACTCTTCTTGCCCCAAGAGAATAAGGCTAAGACCCCAGACTACGACCCAGCCCAAGCCCCAGCCCAGACCCGGACCCACTCCCCAGTCCGCCCCCCTGAGCACACCCCCACCCAGGCCCAGACCCACTCCCCAGCCTGTCCCCCTGAGCACACCCCCCTCAAGGCCCAGATGCTCTCCCCAGCCTGCCCCCCTGAGCACACCCCACCCCAGGACCAGGTTCACTCGGTAGTCCACACCCCTGAGAACACTGCCACGCAGGGCCATGACCCTGAGAAGACCTCAGCCCACACCATGGCCCAAGCCCCTGCCCAGGTCCCCGTGCCTGTGTTCGCCCGCTCCCTGGACCACACCCTTGAGCACATAAGAGTTCATGCCCCAGCCAGAAACCTGGTCCATGCTCATCTAACCTATACCCGTGCCCATACATTGGTCCCTCCCCCAGCCTCTGCCCCAGATCCTCCTCTAACTTCTGCCCCTGCTGCTACTCCTGCCCCAGCCCCTACACCAGCCCCTGTCCCAATATCTACCTCAATGCCTGTCCCAGTACTGGTCACGGCCCCAACCACCACACCAGTTCCTGCTCCTACACCTAACCCAACCCCTACCCACAGTCTAACTCCTATTCTTTCTACCATGACTGCCTTCAGCCAAGACCCACCTACTGACCGTGTGGTCTGTGATACCCTCAGGGTAAAGCAGAACTTATCCCATGTGTGCCCTACCCAAGATGCTGGGCATTCCAGAAGGAATTTGGGTACCGTCTCCAGGCCCCCAGATGGTCAGGGCCTGGTAACCTTTGGTCCAGCAGAGCAAACATCAAAGCAACTTAGTGAGGACACTGCCAAGTCCTCTACACGATCCATACTGGGTCCCCTGGAGTCGGGGAATATGGAATGGAAGATCTCAAATGATGCCAAAGAGAAGTTCTTACAGCCCAGGACCTTCCCTTACTGCGATTTCCATCCTTGCAGTTCTGAGAGGAGAAACACAGACTCCCAGCCTCCAGTCTACCCCCAATTCCTGATCTGTTCCAGAGATGCTTCACCTTCTCAACCTTGCCTTCATTCTCTAACCAGTGCCCAGGACTCACTGTGCATCATTCCTGCACCATGCACTCTTTCTCTGCCTCTTGTTTCTCCCAGATCCTTTGTTCATCAACCTACCAGCCACCAGGTGACACCTTCCACTTCAATACAAACCTCCAACTTCCCCCCAACTCCTAAGTCTCCTCAGTCCATACCTTCTTCCCAGTTTCCCATCCCTCCCCAGTTCTCTACCATTTCCCAACCCACATTCCAACCCCAATCTCCTGAACTTTATGAGAGTCTAGGCCTCACCCCAGACTCTAGCCTCCAAAGGACCCCAGGCCCTTTAAAAGACACTAGAGTTGCCAAGAACCCAGGCCTTACCCAAGATCCAGGCCTCCACAAGAACATAGGCCTGGATCAAGATCCAGGCCTACGCAGGCTCCCAGGCCTTCCCCAACACCCTCATCTCTGCAAGAAACTGGGGCATTCCCAAGACTCTGGTCTTCACAAGAATCCTCCAATTACCCAAGATCCTGGCCCCCAAAAGAGCCTAGGTTCTCCTCAGCATGTAGGTATCTTTACAGGCCCATGTCTCACCCAACCCTCTGGCCTCCATAAGAACACATTTCCCAAAGCTTCTGACATTCAGAGGAGCTCAGGCTTTGTGCAAGACTCTGGAGTCTATAGTAATCCAAAACAAAACCAAGAGACTGTACTCTGCAAAAGTCAAGATCTCTCCCAAACAACTGGCCTCCATAAGAGCCCTGGCCCTTGTAAAGATTCTGGAGGATGCAAGAGTACAGGTAATGCCCAAGATCCAGGAGTCTCTAGGAGTCTAGTTCTTACCCGAGATTCTGGCCCACATAAGAGCCCATGCCTCACTGAAGACTCTGAAGTCAACAAGAGCACAGGCTTTCCCCAGGAACCTGGTCTCCACAAAAACCCAGTCTTTGTCCAAACCTCTGGCCTCCATAAGGGCTCAGGCCTCACCCAAGACTCAGAAAACTACAGGAATCTTGGCCTCACTCAAGATACTGACCTTCAGATGAATTCAGGCCTTACTCAAGCCAATGAAGTCAAAAAGAGATGTGGCTTTACACAAAATGTTGGAATTTACAGGAGCCCAGAGTATACCCAAGACTCTAACTTGCGCAAGTGCCCAGGAATTAATCAAGATCCTGGCCAACATAAGGGCCCAGCTACTCCCCAAGACTCCAGCCTCCCCGTGACTCGAGGCCTTACCAAGGAATCAAGCCTCTACAAGGAATCATGCCTTATTCCAAATCCTGACCTCCACAAGAACCCCAACCTTGTTCTGCATGCTAAATCTGTCCAAGTTGTGGGCCCATCTCCGACCCCAAAGTCCACACTGTCCCCAATGAAGTCATTTGTATCTGAGGAGGCTCCTTGGAAGGAGAATGCAGAGCAGCATCTTCCATGTACTTCTGAGCCACTCAGTCAGAACTCTCCTTCCAAGGCCCAGGTTATCTACAATGACCTGCAAACCTTCTCAGAGGTACCTGTACTAATTGAGCTACAGCCACCCTCCCAGCGAGCAGGCAGCCAAAGCTGGGTTTACTGCCCTGTGAATACAGTTCCTCCAGCCTGCCTGAACTATCGCCAGATGTCTGTGCCTCCCCAAATCAACTGTAAGATCCACTGTCCTGGGCCATGTACCCGGGTAGGGCATGTGGTCTTTGATGCTCGCCAGAGACAGTTCGGAGTGGGCAGAGACAAGTGTGGAGCTCTCTCTCCTAGGCACCTTCACCAAGAGGCATCCAGCAACTCAGTGGAGACCACCAAGTGGGGATATCAGTGTGTAATGAGGCCCTCAGAAAAAGAGGGGACAAAGGTGCATCAGGAATAAAGAGACAACAGAAGTGCTCTGTGATTGTTTGGGGACATCTAACCCAGCCCCTTTCCTGACACTGGCCACTCTCAGGGCCTGATGAAGATTGAAACGATATTTGTCCCTTCTCCTCCTCCGTAGCTGTAGAGCTAAACCCATGATCCCCAAAGCCCTAGAGCTGCATTTTCCAACACAGTAGCCACTATCTACCCATGGTTATTAGGTGTAAATTAACATTAAATACAATTTATAATTCTATTCTTCTGTCTCCTCCACATTTCAAGTGCTCAGTGCTATGGGTGGCTAGTGCTTCTGTATTGGACAGCACAGATTTAGACCATTTTTCATCATTACAGAAAATCCTACTGGACAGCAATGCTTTAGAGTTTAGAGGAACTTTCCCTTGTCACCCATTCCCAGCATCTTCAAAACTCCCACTGAGCCCAGAGAACTTAGTTCTTTTTAGGGTGGTTCAGAGGCCACCCTCTGGGGAAGAGGTAAGATGCAGGCATGTCAGATACCTGATTGCCCCAGACTGCAAGAAAGAACCCAGTCTTCAGTTTTCTTGGTCTCTTGGGTCCCAACCAGATATATTGAAACCTGCCTCTCCAGTTCTGGGCTGTGTTTGGAGGCTCTGAGTTGCTGAGGAAGATCTCTCTTTGTCAGTGTCTAGGAACTCCTGAGATCTGGGCTCCCCAAATTGAGCTCTGGATTCTGAGAAGCCCCTTCCTTTACAGACCTGTAACTTTTCGAGGTGCGTCTGCTTAATTCTCTTGCCTATGGACTTAGGCCTGTCTCACTCCAGAGAGAGTCACCAGGGAAGAGGGAATGTAAGAAGTCCTGGTCCAGCAATGGACAGGTCTGATTTGTAAGTCTGTCCCGGTTTCCTATCTTTTGTCCCATTATTCTGGTTCTGTGTGTCATTCAGCACTTAAGCTGTGTCCCTGATAGCACTGGCTACTGAAAATAATTTCCTTCTCCATAATTTCCCTTTGCCTTGCCCCAGCCCAGCTGGGAGTTTCCTCTGGATTTGATTCTCAGTCCTGATAACTCTTCTGTGTAGACACATGACAAGTGAAATTCTGAAGTGTTTTCTCTACCACCATGCATGTGTGTCTGAGGTGGGTATCACTAATATGTCCCTTCCCTGAATCAGATGCCCAATTCTGGGTCACCACCTGTGTGTTCTTGCCTAACACTGCTACCACGGATTCCAAGGGGAAATTACCCAGCTGGGGAGCCCCTTTCTAATATGTCCCCAGCTCAGCTCTGACGTTGGATAAGTCATGCACAGACTTTCTAGGCTCTAGTCTCATCTTGAAAATGAAGTTATAATTGTATGGAAGAACCCTTTTAGATCTAAATGACCAGGGCTCCTCTACTCACAGGGGATGTAGAGGCTTCTCTTTATCCCCAGGCCCTAGGGTGTGCCCTCTGTTATTGTCTGCTATTCAGATCTATCCTATTACTGATACGGAGAGATCCGATCAGGTCACTGGGGAGAAGTAGGGAGGGGCCATAGGAGGATTTTGCGAAGGCAATGGTTAGCAGCCTAGGACGGAATTGGCTGAGGAGCTGAATGCCTCCGGAGTGCATGGAAATAAAGAGGGCTGGCTCTCTGGCTCTGGGGCTCTTCTTCCTGAGGGTACCTGGGTGATGGTGCTGCAGCTGCCTGTGCTTCCCATTGGACAGTATTTTGGATGGGAAGGAACTCTGGGCACAGCCTAGGATTGGGCTGGCCTGGCAGAGGGTGGCAGGGTTACTCTTCTTTGGGTGTTCTCAGGGGACGAGCTGTGAGACGGAAGCCTGCTGTTCTTCCAAAATGTGTAGTCTGTAGCCTTGTATCTTACATTGTTTTAGTTTGTAAACTAACCCTATAGGAATAAGATAACTAAAAACTAACAGGGGAGAACTCAGGTGTTAGAGTTTAGCCTTAATTGATAGGCCTAAGTGACTAATTCATGTGAAAAGCTGTTATTCCAAAATTATGAAGCTTTTGAATAAAGACTCCCTTTATCACCAAACCCTTGCCTCTGGAATTTTTCCTAGAGGGCGATGGACAGCAGGACCCAACTGCTGTCTGGTAACATTACCCCTCTGTTCCATTCCCAGGAATGTTTGCGTGGGGCTGACCTGGGCTTGGAAAGAAAGAGAATGGTTTATCTCCATAGAAACCACAACTTCAGCCAGGCACTTCAGGAGGACAGGAAAGGATGTGGGGGCGTAGCCTCAACTCTCCTGTATTGCTGAAGGCAAACTGCAACTCCTAGGATAGGGCGAGATCTGAGCAGAGCAAAAAGACGTGTTGGCAAAGGTGGGGCTCGCTGGGAAGCACCCAGGCTGGCCTCTAGAAAGGGGCGTGGCTGTAACGTAAGGGCGTGGCCTTGCAGGCAGCCGGAAGAAGTTACCTGTTGGATGGCTCTATCCATTCTCTATCCAGCGCTTGCAGTTACCCCTAAAAGGGAAGCCGCAGACCGTAAGCCTTTTCCGAAAAAGTGGTAAGGGGAGGTAGACAAGGGACGGCGGAGGAGACTGGCTATTGCATTCCGTAGGAGGGGCCCAACAGCTGCTTTTCACCTGCTGAGTCAGGTGAACCGGTCCATGGGGGCGGGGACCAGAATACGGGAAAGGCCAAGGGCAAGGACAGAAGAGGTATTTATTTGTTCGTTTTCAAGACTAAACTTACAGCCCTTGACCGGCAGACCCACAGGCGTACTTGTCTAGGGCACTCGGCCTTTGGAAGAGAGAACGAAGGCGACTTCTCAGCATTAAAGGAACGACCGGTTTAGGCTTCCGCTCGTCCTTGTTTTCCCTAGCTCAAAACGACAGAGCCCGATGGCTTCCGCGGTCTGGGGGAGTGCCCCCTGGTGGGGCCCGCCGCCCCCGGCCCCAGCGCGCCCGCTCACAGACATCGACTTCTGCTCCGGAGCGCAGCTGCAGGAACTAACCCAGCTTATCCAGGAGCTGGGTGTGCAGGAGAGCTGGAGTGACGGCCCCAAGACGGGACGAGACCTTCTCCAGGCCAAAGACTTTGTTTTCTCTTTACTCGGTAAGTAACCCTTCCAGCCTTTCAGAAACTCCCCTCTGAGCCCCGCCCCGGCATCGTGTCACCCTCTCACAATTCCTTCTCTTCCCTTAGGTCTCGTTCACCGCCAGGATCCCCGCTTCCCTCCCCAAGCAGAGCTCTTGCTGCTTCGTGGTGGAATTCGCGAGGGCTCTGTGGATCTGGGGACTTCACCCCTAGGTCCCTACGCTCGGGGACCTCACTACGACGCCGGCTTCACACTCCTGGTGCCCGTGTTTTCTTTAGATGGCACTGGGCAGACGCTGCAACTGGACATGGAATCCGGTTACGCCTGGCTCTGCCTCCCAGAACTGATGCAGGGAACCTCAGTCCGAAAGGCATGGCAGGATTGCCTAGGACCCCCGATCCCAGGAGGACGTAATTTGACCCACCAAGCCGAAAGCGAAGAAAGTCCCAAGTACCAGCAAATCAACGTGGGCCAACCGCACGGTTACGTCACTGAGCTTGAGCTAAACGTATCTTTGGAAAAATCACCTAGTAACGGCTCTGGGCCTGAGTCGCCTCGGCAAGACGTAACCGATGTTGGCTCTCCAGCACCACTAAATGATGACGTCACCAAAGCAGCCGCGGACAGTTCAGTCCCACAGTCGTCGGCGGCTCCGGAGGCGTGGCCTACATTGTGCCCTGCCAAGGTGGCTGCGTGGTTCTTTGCTACGCTGGCTGAGGTCGCCAAGTCCCTGATCCCGGTCCCGGGTGCCCCGCGCTTGGTTCACGCAGCTCGCCACGCGGGGTTCACAACCATCCTCCTGACTACGCCAGGGCCCCCACGCCGCCTCCTGCTTTTCGACCTGATCCCTGTGGTGTCCGCAGCTGGCTGGCCCGAGGGGGCTCGGAGCCATTCGTGGGCCGGGCCGCTGGTCTCTGAATCGTCCTCCTTCTACCTGGTGCCGGGCGGCGACATAGAGCGGCCGGGCGCTTCCGGCTGGCAGCTGTGCTTCGCCCGCCAGGAGCTGGCGCTCAAAGCGCTCATACCCGCCCCGCTGCTGCAAGCGCACGCGGCTGCCCAGGCACTGCTGCGCCCGCTGGTGGCCGGGACCCGGGCCGCGGCGCCCTACCTTCTGCGGACGTTGCTCTACTGGGCTTGCGAGCGGCTGCCAGCGCTCTATTTGGCGCGGCCGGAGAACGCAGGTGCCTGCTGCCTGGGGCTGCTGGATGAGCTGGGCCGTGTGCTCGAGGCTGGGACGCTGCCCCATTATTTTCTGATAGGCCGAAAGCTCTGGGCTGGGGACAATGCTGCTGCGCTCCTCGCAGCATTGGCCCGGCTTCGTGGGGATCCCGCCCGGGCCCTGTCTGCCACGGTGGAGGAGGCCAAGGCTGCGCGCAAGGGGGGCGGCTTAGCTGGCGTGGGAGGCGGGGCCCATTAAAGACTACTCCTACCCGCATGGAAAGCGCTTCTGTTAGCTAGCGGGATGTGGAGGGCACTACTCGCCCCTCACTCGGGAGACCAAAACTGGTTTCCCTGGAGCCGAAACATCCTGCTCTAGAAGACGTCTTCGCAGGTCCCTCCCCATCATTCCACTCATCTCCAGCCCCATCCCTGGTACAGGTGGTCCCATCCTGGCTCCTCTGTGTCCAGCATCCCGCGCGCCCTGTTACAGTTTCTGGCAACCATCTTTCCCCAATTCTTGTGATCCTTTCTCTCAGGAGTCAATAGGGATGAGGGGAATATATTTGCTGACAAAACGCAGAAAGAGGTGTGGAGACGAGAGACAGACCCATTTGACTCACACAAAAGCAGACTTATTAAGGAGGTCGCATTTGGCCCCAGGCTAGATTTCAACCACCATCTCCAATCTCTTCGGTTATTACCCCTACTTTTCTCACTCAGTTCTGTCCCCCTATCCAGGGCAGTAGGGTCTCATTCTCTGCTTTGGTAGTGTCCGCCGTCCCATTCATCTGAAACTCAACCTCTCCACCCAGTCAATGGAGACACCTCCTTGTCCCTCCTCCAAACCCGAGACACGCGGCCTTGCCTCGGCTCCGCCTGCTCCTAAGACTGTCCCCACTCCCTGCCTCGAAGGAACCCCCGGGCTCTGGCCGCCCAGTTTCATCCCTGTTTCCCGGCGTCTCCGCCCCCTGCCCCGCCCCCCGATCGGCTCGGAGAAGGGGGAGCTGCGGTTGCCACCGCCGCCTCAGCTTCCCACTGGCGCTGCTGCTGCTTTCGCCGCCGCCACCGCTATCGCCGCTGCACTTGGTCCAGCCGCCAGGCCCAGTGCTCTGACTTTACCGGACCAGGACGCTCTGCGGAGACACCCTCACTCTTTTGGGGGCCCGGGCTCCTAGCCAGGCGAGGAGGGGGAAGCTCCGCTTGCGGGGGACAGGGAGGGAGGAGCCTGGAGCCGGGGCCAGCACCCGTCGCGGGATCAACAAGAGAGGACAGGTTGAGGGGCGTCGGGGAAGGGGGGTTGCTATAGGTAATCTCAGCGAGGAGGAGGAAGCCCTGTCGCAGAAAGCTCTGATGCACTGACTTCTAGGGGGCCTGTTCACATTTGGGAACTGCTGACAACATGGGTGCACTCCTCTTTTGGGGGGCTGGTTGGAGGGGAGGACGGAGGATCTAAATAGCACCAGCTGTCCCCAAGGAAATTAAGGGGCTGCCAGAAGAAAAAAAAACCCCGGATGCTCCTAATTTCGAGGTGACAGAGGGCCCTCCAGACAACCACCTGGTGTATCCACCAGGAAAGGTGGATTTGGAGGTGACTTCAAAGAGTGGAGGATAACAAGGTGAGGAAAGGGGCTCAGCAACTGGAACTCTGTGCCACCAGAAATAAGGGTGACTTGGTGGAAAAAAGATATTGTCCAGAGACAGAGTCTGGGAACCCGTTCTCTCTGAACAGGGACAGACTGGATATTCTGAGACATAGTTTTGGGGGATTTCAGTGAAAAAAGTGAGGGATCGTCTTCACTTAGAGGGTGGCAAAGACACCAAGGTGGGGTTCTTCCCTGACATTGGCAGTGCCCCATCAGGGGTGGGGTGGGCTAATATCCTCAAAGCTAAGGACCCACAATTTACGTTACAAGAGTGGATTTGGCAGGAGTATGGAGGCCCCCAAAATAGGGTGAAAAGATGCCTGGGAATATTGGAACCACATATTGTAAATTTTGAGGGTTTTGACTTTGGGATACGGGAAGTGGGGGCAGGGATATTGAAGAGCAGGGGAGGAGGTAGTTTTCAGTAAGGGTCAAAAGTTGAGGGTGGGGTTAACTGAGAGGGACTGAGGTTGCTGGGCTGAGTGGACCTAGTACGGGGGCTCAAGGGTGGGAGCTGACGGTCGGAGTGGGGGCTGAGGCTTATCCCAAGGTCCCGTGGGTGGGGCGGTGAGTCGGGGAAGAGCGTCCAGAGCATGCCGTGGTGGTGAGCGGGCTTCTCTGGGGGAGTCCAGCACGTTCCCAGCGCCGGCTGGTTTGGGGGTGTCTCCTCCCGTGGCGCCATGGCGGCGCTGGCTAGTAGCCTGATCCGGCAGAAACGGGAGGTCCGCGAGCCCGGGGGCAGCCGGCCGGTGTCGGCGCAGCGGCGCGTGTGTCCCCGCGGCACCAAGTCCCTTTGCCAGAAACAGCTCCTCATCCTGCTGTCCAAGGTGCGACTGTGCGGGGGGCGTCCCGGACGGCCAGACCGCGGCCCGGGTAAGTGGCTGAGGCGGGGTCACCGGAACTGGGGTCTCCCTGCCTGGGAGGCGGAGATGAGGGGCTCTGAAGAATGGGGCCAGACTGAGGGAGGCCCCGGAAAGTGAAAAGGGGTGGGCCAAGACAACAAAGTCTCTGCCATCTGTGCCTCAGTTTCCCTTCTTTGCCCGTAACCCCGAGTCTCCTTGCTTTCGAGGGCAAAGGGAAGGCTTGAGGGGTTAAGTCTGGCTCCCCAAGCCTCGCAGGTCCTGCTTGCTCCCATCCCCACCCCAGAATCCCCATCCCCACCGCCCTTCGCCTGTGCGCTGTCTCTCTCGCTTCTTTCCATCCAGAGCCCAGGGGCCTGGGGGTTCCGGACGCCTGGGTCACCCCGAGGGTTTCTGCGGTTCCGGCAGCCCCGCCCCCGCCCCGGTTCTCCCGCTCCTCTACGCCTTGGCTCGGTTCCTCCTGGTCGAGCTTGCCTGGCTCGGGGCCAATCTCCCCAGCTCTCCCCTGGGTGTCCTTGCCGCTACCTCGCCAGCTCGCCCCTCTTGTGCGCCCTCCTTGCGCGACCTGAGCTTCAAGAGAGGACCTGAGTACCCCCCACTACCCCTCCCACGCGACTCCGAAATCGGGTCCCACGAGCTCAGGGGACCCTCTGCGGAGGAACTCATAGTACAAGGCTAGTGAGAAACCAGCGACGAGATGGGAGGGTCGTACCACCTACAAGGGGGTACACGGAAGTCCGCTGAGAGCAAACAACCAGCAAGGAGAGTTTTGAGGGTTAGCGTGTGGTCCCCGTCCAGGTACCACAGGCAGGGCGTCCCTCTGGCCCCGCTCCTACCTGCTCCCAGCTGCCCTAGGGTCAGCCCCCTCGAGCTCTCCTCCCCCCGCCGCCGCCGGTCCGCCACAGTGGTACGGTCCGCAGCCCACCCTTTGAGTAGTGGGACCAGGCCCCCACGTGACACAGCCTGCCTCGCCTCGTCCCCCGCCCCTCCCATTTCCTCGGTTTGGTAGCGAACGTCCCCCACGCTAAGCGGGTTACCTGGCTGAAGGGGAAAGGCTGAGCCTCAGAAAGGCCTGGGCCCCCGAGCCAGCGGACTGACAGATACAGACAGATGGGTCAGTGTCAGACTGGCCGGCGCTGGGCCAAGGCGAGGCCCGCGCCAAGCGAGCGACAGCTGCAGCAGCAGGTGCTGAGTCAGCGTCAGGCCCAGTCCCACCCCCATTCTGGAGGGGGCGCCCCTACCCTGTGATCACCTTGCTGCCCCCCACATTCACAAATACATCGCCCCTTCAGCAGCCCTGTCTGTGTCCCTCTGCTTTTGGATGTGTCTCTTCTCTTCCTCTCCCCTCCCCCCTTTCTGGTTAAGCTGTAGAGTAGGAATTAAACCACTTAAATAAATTTCAATACATTAAACTGAAAGCTGGCGGTTAGAGGAAGCAGAGGGGACCTACACCTCAGAGTCCTCAGGGATTGAGAGGTGGGAAAGAGCTTTCTTGGAGGGTGAGAAAGTTCGGGCCATAGGACCCTATTCCTTCCCCCCACGCACCCACCCCCGCTCTCCTTTCTTTCCTCTGATCCCACCAAGTGTAGCAATGTTTCTGGGAACAGGGATGTCATTGTCAAAGATTAATGTCTTTCTCTCTAGAGCCTCAGCTCAAAGGCATCGTCACCAAACTGTTCTGCCGCCAGGGTTTCTACCTCCAGGCAAATCCCGACGGGAGCATCCAGGGCACCCCAGAGGACACCAGCTCTTTCAGTGAGAGGGGAAGCCGGCCCCTGGGTGGGATGGGGGATAGTGGGGCTAGAAGACTAGGACAGTCCTATTCCTGCTTTAGATTCTGTGGTTTCTGGTCTGCCTCTTTGACTCCCAAGGGAGGACGTGAAGCTGGGATGGGAGGAGCTCAGATAGGGGTTCAGGGCCTGGGGAACTGATGCCCCGGTCTCTCTATCCCCAGCCCACTTCAATCTGATCCCTGTGGGGCTCCGTGTGGTCACCATCCAGAGTGCCAAGCTGGGTCACTACATGGCCATGAATGCGGAGGGGCTGCTCTACAGCTCGGTGAGAAAATGAGGCTGAGTGGCTTGGGGTTTGGAGATTGCCCAACTGCAACTTTTTCAACTACAGATATTTTACAGTTCAGGGCTCCCTCTCACTCCACCTCTTGCCGATGTTCTGTCATCACTGCCCACCCCAGAGCACCTCCGCTAAGGTCCTGCTAATCCTACTCTCACAGGGCCCTCCAGATGCCCCCAGGCTTTTTAAATATCCAACTCTGTCTTTTAGGGCCACTTTTCTTCATCCTACCTCCTTCAGATTTCATTCTTACTTCCCCAGAGTTGTTCAGGGACTAGTGAGAGGTTTGGAATAGCGTGGAAACAAAGCACCTTAAAAAGAAAAAAAGAAAAAAAAAGATTTTATTTATTTATTTTTAGAGAGAGGGGAAGGGAGGGAGAAAGAGAGGGATAGAAACATCTTTCGGTTGCCTCTCGCATGCCCCCAACTGGGGACCTGGCCTGCAAGCCAGTCATGTGCCCTGACCCGGAATCAAACCATCAGCCTTTTGGTTTGCAGTATGATGCCCAATCCACTGAGCCACACCAGGCAGGGCGAGAAGGTATCCTCTTAATCCAAGCCCCCCAAAGTCTAGTTCGTAACCCTCGGCAGTCTACCAGACTCTTCCTTGTCCTCCCTTTTCCCCATTTCCCACATAGACTTAGAAGTTGGCCTCCTAGCCTAAAAATGTATGGATTATGTCCTGGCTTGTTCTTCTCAGGGCTCCCTTCTGTCCAGTGATGTGTCTATTTGTCTCTTTGTGTGTGCCTTCCTGGGTCTTTGTCTCCTCAGCAACATTTCACAGCTGAGTGTCGCTTTAAGGAGTGTGTCTTTGAGAATTACTATGTCCTGTACGCCTCTGCTCTCTACCGTCAGCGCCGTTCTGGCCGGGCCTGGTACCTAGGCTTGGACAAGGAGGGCCGCGTCATGAAGGGAAATCGAGTCAAGAAGACCAAGGCAGCTGCTCACTTTGTGCCCAAGCTCCTAGAGGGTGAGTATGGACTGAAGAAAACAGGGGCCGCGTGGGAGAGTATTGACCTTGACATGGACATTTAAGTGACATACAGCTTAGGGGCAACAAGTGTGACGAGGACACCTGTTATGACAGGTCAAGCCAGGAAGCCTTTGGCTCCTGGGAGTTCTCCTCCTATGGGTTGGGGTTCCCAGAGGATGAGTGTAGGGAAGGGGAACCCTTTCAGGGCCCTGATTCTGTCTGGGTCGCTCCATGCCTAACTCTCCTTCCTGCTCCTCTCTCTCCCCTTCACAGTGGCCATGTACCGGGAGCCTTCTCTCCACAGTGTCCCTGAGACCTCCCCTTCAAGTCCCCCTGCCCCCTGAAATGTAGACCTTGGACTGGAGGCGCCTGCACTTGCACTGATCCGACCACCGCCACAGCCTGTCTCCCAGCCCTGCTCCTGGCCCTGCTCTCTCCCCAGCTGCCATACTCATGCCCTGAGCAGCCAGGTCCCGCCCGGTGCTCTACCTTGAGGGAGCCTAGGGGCTGCTGAAATCCTTAGATTCTTGGGCCCAGGAGTGGGCCAGAGAGGTGGATGTTTGAAAATGGTCCTGGCTGATCACTTCTTTTCTTCCACACTTACACACCCCCAAAGCCTTTTCGCGAGATGGCACTGGGGGTTTCCAAACTGACAGAACCAGGACACAAATACTCCCCACCCCAGGCTCAGCCAGTTCCTGGAGCCCTTTTCATTGCCACTGAGCCATAGATTTATACGTCTCCTGGAGCTCAGGATTAGTTTTCTTTCCCTACTCTACCTTCTGCCTTGTTCTGGATAGGTTCTGGAACACCATGCACCCCAGCCAGGGCCATTTATGTACTAAGGCTCCTGCTGGAATGTGGGCTTGCTGCCAGGTTCTGTTCTGGACCCATCAGGCTTCCCTGACCCAGATAGACCCCTGGTTTCCAAGTAGAGAGAGGCTGGATTTGAGCCCTGTCCAGCTCTTGGCTTTGGACTGAATTGGGGCCAGTCTCAGATCACCACAGGTTTAACTTTTTTTATCCCAGAGACACCCAATTTCTAGAGCATGGTGTTCTTAACACATATGGAGCCATACTTCCTTCTGAATCTCAACTCTAGGATATAGACCATGACTCTCCTCTCTTCCCTCCAGGATGGAACTGGGACCTATGTAGCCATATTATTGCTCTAGAGTAAGCTCTAGACCTATTCTTCCATCTTCTCTAGTGATACCTATTAAGGATGTGCTCTGGAAAGGACCCAGCTATGATTCATAAAGAACTAAGTTCTGGATGAATTAAGAACTACTACTTGTTTTTCCTAGATAATTTTCTAAAAATCTTATTCTTCCTTTAGAATGCTAACCTTATTTTTACATGCAGTTTCTAGCTCCTGCAACTCGCCTGGGGTCCAGGAAAATAAAGTCTGAAGGAGGACAGAGGAGTTTTAGAAAGAGTCCTTGGCTCATAGTGGGGAAGCTAGGATGGGAAAGGGACCGCCGGGACAACCATGATGTAGTTGGACCTGTACCTGGGTTGAGGGGACACGAACACTTAGCTACCTCAGCAGGAATTTCTTCCAGATCCCCTTTAAAGCTGAGGTCTTTAGGGTAATGGGTCTAGAATAAAAAGGACAAATATGACATAGCCTTGACTCCCCCAGTGAGGAGACCCCAATTCAGCAATAAGTCCCACCTCTCTCCCCTAGGTCAGGCCAAGGAGGGTGGGGGCCTCGTCCGTTCCAGACCTCATTTACTCCCAGAACTTCGAACTGAATAGAACTTGCTTTACTTTACAGTTTATAACCTCAGCTGTGTTTTAGGTACCCAAAAAGGGCCTGACTGGATTTTTCTGAAAAACGTGGAGAGCTAGAGGCAGGCTTGGAAAAAGATCAGGAAACCGCTAGTGAACCAGGAGGTAGACTGAGTAGCCTCAGACTCGGGCAGGGTAGACTGTGGAGGCCCTAAAGGGAGGGGCTACAGTTCCGGAGGCAGGTCACTTTTCCTCGGGCTCTTTCTACTTCTAGCTCGTTGCAAAAGAGGTTGATACTTCCCTCAGCCACAGAGATCCCACCCAGGCTCCACCCATCCCCTGGCTTGGCTCCCAGGGGACCCGGTTTCCACTCCATGCATTCTCAATTAAACAGAGTTTATACAACTGATGCCTTGTCTGTCATCTGTGGGTGGCGGGCATTGGCAGTTGTTCGGGGCGGGACCAAGCCCCAGGGGCGGGGCGGGTGGGCTGGCGGCTGCCCCCCAACAACAGGTGCACATTCTTGGGCGTCTCGTCACTTCCCTTGCACTCGCTGTCCCGGCGGTTCACTAAGCGAACTCACTGAATGCGGCCGAGCCATGACCCCAGGGGCGCTGCTGCTGCTGTTGCTGGGGGCACTGGGGGCGCTGCTCGCCCCAGGTAAGCCTGGGCCTCAAAGGGGCAGTGACAGGGCCAGAGCTTGTGGCCGGGCACCGTGGCTTCACTCAGTGCTCTCCTCCAGGTGCCCGTGGCTCGGAGGCCGAAGGCCGGCTCCGCGAGAAACTTTTCGCGGGCTACGATAGCTCGGTGCGGCCGGCGCGGGAGGTGGGAGACTGCGTCAGGGTCAGCATTGGTCTCCGACTGGCGCAACTCATCAGCCTGGTGAGGGCGCACGTGTGCGGTTGAGATCCGGCTCACCGGCGGGTTGCGGGGCGTGGCTTTGAATGGGGCAGTACAGAGGGACGGCAGGGCAGGTCGAGGCTAAGAGATGAACCCGCTGTTAGCAGACATTGGGTAGAAATCGGCGTGGCTGCTGGACAGGCCAGGAGTAGAGCCGGGTACGGAGATGAACTTGCCTGTGGACAGATCTTGAAGTGGAACTGGGACTGATGGACTGACTGGAAGGCGGGCCTTGGGGCGGGGTCACAGGCTGGGGCGGAACTTGGTGCCGGACAGCGTCAATCAACAACTATGGGCGGAGATTCAGGGTTGGGTGAATTATGAGCTGTGGGTGGAGCCTGCCTGGGGCGGGACTTGTAGCGGAATTGGCGGACACCGTAGACCGCAGGAAGTTTCGGAGGTAGAGGCGGGGCTTGGACGAAAGAGGGTGAGGCTCAGAAAATGGTAGGAGTTTCCAGGGAGAGCTTGACCCGCCGAACCCCCTTATTTCTCTCCACTTACATAACCTCTACTTTTTAAATTTTTCCCTTCTAGAACGAGAAAGATGAGGAGATGAGCACAAAGGTGTACTTAGACCTGGTACGGAGATTTCAAAGGGTGGGAAAGAGCGTCCCGCTGCCTTTACAATTTCCTCGAATGTCGTGCCCAGTCAAAAATATTTTTGCATCATGAACTCAAAAAAAAAAAAAAAAAAAAAAAGGTTATAACTGAAACAGAAGCTTCAGGAAACATTACCTATCTTTACTATGTGAGTTGCACTTAATGCATTTTTTCATTAAATTTTTTTTTTAAACACTGGTTTGGGTCCCCTAATTTGATTTCTTGAGCCACTAAAGATTCCCGAACTGCAGTTTGAAAACCACTGTTTTAGAGAATAGCTAGTGGAGCGTCCTCGTTGTTATAGACTAAAATTTGGCGCATTTTGCTAGGGAGGAGGAAATTAGCTGATGGAGGCTGAGCGAGTGCAGGTGGAGCCGGAATCAGAACCCCCGGCCTCCGGAATCACAGTCCATCCCTGCGCTGCTCCCCACCCTTGCACTTACCGCCCGCTTCCTTCGGAGATTACAAGTTTCCTCCCAGCCTCCGGCCCTTAACAGCCGCCTTTAGCCTCTGCTTCCCTAGGAGTGGACTGACTACAGACTGAGCTGGGACCCCGCAGAGTACGAGAACATCGCTTTTCTCCGCATCACGGATCAATCCGTGTGGCTACCAGATGTGGTGCTACTGAACAAGTAAGGTTTTTCCTAGACTGGGGGTGGGCGAGGCCTCTGGAAGGGCGGGGCATCCGGAGGGCGGGGCCTGATCCCAGGTGAGAAGATTCTTTCCCTGCAGCAACGATGGAAATTTTGGCGTGGCTCTGGACATTAACGTTGTAGTAGCCTCCGACGGATCTGTGCGCTGGCAGCCCCCGGGCATCTATCGCAGCAGCTGCAGCATCCAGGTCTCTGGGCTCCACCTGGCAACTCAAGGCGCTGTTAGAAACCCTCCCTCTCCTCAGACGTCCTGACTCCCATCCCTCCTCCAATACCTCCTGTGACCCTCACGTCTCTCTTCCCCTCCTGATTTTCCATTGTTTCCATCTTCTCTGTTCACTTTCATTGACTTCCAGTCTTTCTCACTAACTCCCTTCCATTGCCCCTGGCCTCCCCTAAAAACCTTCCAATTCCTTTGTGACCCTCACTTCCCTGTGGCCTCTTGGTAGCCCCATATTCTCTGACCCCTAACTGCCCTGTGACTTTCCTAACTCCCCTAGCCCCAACAAGTTCTCTGCCAGCTCTGGTGACTCCTCTTTCCATCCAGGTCACCTACTTTCCCTTTGACTGGCAGAACTGCACCATGGTGTTCAGTTCCTATAGCTATGACAGCTCAGAGGTCAGCCTGCACACTGGCTTGGGTCCAGATGGGCAGGAGCGGCAGGAAGTGCACATTCATGAAGGGACCTTCATTGGTGAGTGGGCATGGCTCCCACCTCCATGGGTTTTATGACTTCCAGTTTCTAACAAGCTGATAAATGTACTCCATCAGCGATGCCCAATACAGCCCTGTGGTGTCAGCAAGATAGGTATGACTATCTACATTTGGCAAATATGGCAAGTGAGACTTATTTAAGTTTATTAGAAATGGGCTGTCCAGCCTAGTGCCCACAGCTAGCCCCTTGACACGTCAGCCTCCTCTGCTCTAGAACGTGGCACCAACAAGGACCAGGTCCCACATCTATGTACCCTTCTTCTGTTCTTCTCCCCTTCCCCCAAGAGAACGGCCAATGGGAAATTATCCACAAGCCTTCTCGACTAATCCAACCTAGGAGAGGGGGAGAAGGACAGCGTGAAGAAGTCACCTTCTACCTCATCATTCGCCGGAAGCCTCTCTTCTACCTGGTCAACGTCATTGCCCCATGCATCCTCATCACTCTCCTGGCTATCTTTGTCTTCTACCTGCCACCGGATGCAGGTAATGCGGGGGAGGGGAGGCCCCAGCCCTTTTTACCAATAGTTCAGCTTCTTTCTCTCCACCCTTAATCCAGGCAAGGTTTTCCTGCCAAGTCAAGCCATCATGGGTTATGCTTCACCAATCTCACTCAAATTTTCTCTTTAACCAGAGCCTTTTCATCTGGATCCAGATTTTTCCTCCAGCCTCAGGCTCTGCCTTTCCTCTGATGCCCACTTCTTTCCACCCAGCAATTTCTGAACTCTTTCTTTCAGAATCTTAGTATCTCATCCTTGAAACCTCCACTCCTCTGACCAAAAAACTCCCGGGTTTAGACAACACTCATTTTCCCCGTCCTTGTTCCTGGCATCCTCCTTCCTCCACTTTTTAGACACCTTGTAGTCTCTTAACCTCCCACCTCCCTTGGAAATAATGGCCAATATTTCTCTAGGAGGCAGCATAATGTAGTAAGGGTGACCTTGGGCAAATACGTTAATCTCTGTATGGCTCAGTTTCCTAATCTGGAAATGGGAACAATTATTGATCCTACAGAATAGGATTACTTTGAGGATCAATTGAGTTCATAGAACTATGCCTGGTACCCAGTAAATTCTGTGTAAGTGGTGGTATTGTCTTTGTTACTTTTGAGCACTTGATGTAAGGTAATGCAATTAACATGTTACACAGATTAACTCAATTCTAACCTTTACAACAACTCTGTGAGTTAAGTACTGATTTATCTTTCCATTTTACAGAGCAGGATAAAGAGGCTGAAAGAGTTTGTTATTTGCCTGACATTACACAGTTAGAGGCAGCATTGCTCTTCCAACCCTGGTTAGTGCCAGTCTGATTCATAGACTGATATCCTTAACTCTGGTATTCAAAACATGCTTTCCTTCTCTTTGAAATCAAGTCCTCTTTCTACCCAGGGAAGGAGAGTCACGCAGCTCTAGAAGGGACCTACTTCCAAATGTAACTTTTACTTCCTCCTAGAGAAGGCAAATCTTGGAACCCAATATTATAGGACTAAAGTAGAGGAGACCATAAAAGTTACCTATTTCAACATCTTCCATGAAGTTTGCAGTGCCTGTCATATGCCACAGGAATAATCTACCACCCGGCATACATATCCTTACATATTTTGTTTCACTTTTAGTAATAGGATCAGATTTGTATTTTAACAGGATCAATCTCGTTGCTCTATTGAGAACAGAGGTGGGTAACGGCAAAGAGGAGGCCTTTATAATAACTCAGACCTGAGGTAATGGTGGTTTATACCAGGGCGGTAGGGATAGATGTGATAAGTCATCAGTTGTGGGATATATTTTGAAGGTACAGCCAGTAGAGTTTGCTATGAATTGAATATTGGATGAGAGAGAAAGAGAGAGCTAAGAATGACTCAAAGGGTTTGGCCGATGTCCACAGGAAAGATGAAGCTGTTATTTATGAAATGGGGGAGACTGTGGAGGACTTGGTGATGAAGAAATTACGTTTTAGACATGTTAAGTTTGAGATGTCTATGGAACATCCAAGTGGAGAGATTAAGTTGGCAGGTGAATGAATGTAAGTCTAGAGTTTAAGAGAATAAGTCCAGGTTGGAGGTATAAATGCAGGAGTCCTTTGCACGTACATGGCCCTTCCAGAAGCCTGTCCTTGAGTGGGCTGGATACATGGTCACCACTTATGCCCTGAGGATTGTCATCTGACAAAACCTAATCCTTCTCCCTTCCCCTCTGCCTCCCAAGGAGAGAAAATGGGGCTCTCAATCTTCGCCCTGCTGACTCTTACTGTGTTCCTGCTGCTGCTGGCAGACAAAGTGCCTGAAACCTCTCTCTCTGTCCCCATCATTATCAAGTATCTCATGTTTACCATGGTCCTCGTCACCTTCTCAGTCATCCTTAGCGTCGTCGTTCTCAACCTGCACCATCGCTCACCTCACACCCACCAAATGCCCCTTTGGGTCCGTCAGGTAAGAAAAATCTCC